TTGATGGGTCTGATTTTGTTTACTTACCTGTGGTTATGAAAGATAAAGAAATTATATATCCTAATAAAAGAAACTTGAATTTGTATCCCAGACATCAGACATCCACAGAAACAGCTGAGAAACCTTTGGAGGATAGTATAAACAAACAAGGAGGGATTAAATTGAAAAAGAATAACATGTTTTCATTCAAAAACCGTATAAAGCCCTATACAAACTTCAACACTTTTATGGAAAATCAGAAAGATTTCAATGTTTACAGAGTTTCTAGTGAACCATCTCAATTTTTTCGAAACTCATCTGTAAACAGAAAAGATTTGAAAAAAAGTGTTACCAGTCTCAAAACGGACGATTTCCAAGAGGAAATTCCAGGTACACAATTAGCAGATGTTGAAGCAAGAAATAGAACTTCAAGTAATGATTTAATTAACTCAGAACCTAGTAACAGTAAGGTCAGTACAGAGGCACCATTGAAAGGGGAAAGTATTGAAGGGAAACGGAAAATTAGCGTTGCTTCCAAAAATAAAAATGCCGACAGAAACATCAAAGGATCCATTATTAGTACAAAAAGAAATAAAAGTGTTGCGAGAAATAGCAAAGCTGATGCTAAGCCAAGTTATATACACACGTACACTGAAGCTTTGGATACAGATAACCAACAACAAAACACCTACCGAAGTGATGCAAACCAATCTTTGGATTATCCAACAAATAAAAGTCTTGTAAATAGGAAACATAATGTGGGCACTGACTACACATTTACAAATGATGTACAAGGTAAAACCTCGAATAATAGACCCTTAAAGAGTATTGTTAAAAAGAGCACTGTTTCCCGGGCTAAAAGTGTGCCAAAAAGCAAATATGCTGCAGATACACAAAACTTGGGTTATACCTCCCAATACCAAGGAAATAGTGTATCTGATATAGGGTCAGGAGGTCAAGACAACCTAAGGAGTCCTTTAAGCCAAAGTATGGTGATGTCAACCACAGAAAGTAAACGTTTGACTCAACAGACTAGGCCAAAAAGTTTTGTACAGCAAAACCAAAATAAAAGTCTGTTCAGTGCCATTCAAAGAAGTCAGAGCTTTGTTGAGAGAGAAGAAATTCCAGGAATCCAAGAGCAGTATATCACAGCAAACATTGGTAGATCCAGCGAAGTTCAACAAGAACGTAGAGACATGGGGCAAGAAAGTGTTGTTCAACAGAAAGAGCAAAGCTCAATTGTTAATGATCAAAAGATGGGAACAAAAGGACAAAGTTTAGTGAAACAAAAAAGTGTAGTTTCAAGGTCTCAGAGTGTTGCAAACAATGATTTGATAAGGAGTAAATTAAGAAAAAGTGAAGCAGGGAGAAATAAAGCAGCTGACCAGACAGTCTATGGTGTTGCAGGCGAGAATCAAATACCAAACATGGAAAAACAAACAGCTCAAAAAAGTTTCTTAAGTAGAACCAGTATTCCTTTAGGAAATCAGAGTGTCCTGAGTAAGAGTCAAGCAGTGGGACAACAAGGACCAAGAACCAGTAAAATCACAACAAGACAAAGTAGTGTAGTTCAAAGAGATCAAAACAAGATACTTGAAACAGACTCAGACGAATTTGAGAAAAGAAGAGCAAGTCAAGGTAGGAAAAGTGTAAAAAAAAATAATGAAATATTAGAAACAGATGAAAAGAACTTGAAATATATTTTAGCAAGGCAGGATTCTCTAGCGAGAGATCAGAGTTTTGAAGATCAAGATAAAGCAATCGAAACGAAAAGGCAAAGCACCCGTAAAAGTGTTACAAAGCAAAGTGTGGCCCAAAGAGGTCAGAGTTCAGTAAAAAGGGATAAAACATATAATACAACAAGTAGTGTAGCTCAAAGAGGCCGGAGTTCAGTAGGAAGAGATATACCACTCGAAACCAAAACGTATGAAACAAAAAGTAGTGTAGCTCAAAGAGGCCGGAGTTCAGTAGGAAGAGATATACCACTCGAAACCAAAACGTATGATACAAAAAGTAGTGTAGCTCAAAGAGGCCGGAGTTCAGTAGGAAGAGATATACCACTCGAAACCAAAACGTATGATACAACAAGTAGTGTAGATCAAAGAGGCCGGAGTTCAGTAGGAAGAGATATACCACTCGAAAAAAAAACGTATAATACAACAAGTAGTGTAGCTCAAAGAGATCAAACTTTACAGATTCAAGATAGTAGGCTTAAAAGTACACCAGGGGATAACAAAAGCCTAGCAAGGTCAAGTAATGTGGCTACGAGAGAACAAAGTTTTGAGGGCAGATATGACACATTGGATAATAATAGGTCAAAGAGAATTCAGGACAAAGAAAACCAGAGTTTAGTGAAGCGCAATAACACAAGACAAGGAAGCCAAAGTAAAAGTGTTGCAAGGCAGAGTAATGCTGCCGGAGAAAGAAAGAGCATAATGGATCAAAAATATGTATTAGAATCATCAGAAGAACAAGACTTAAAGAAAAATACCTATCAAAGCAGTAGGCCCATGTCTCAAAAACCTCAGAGTTTTGTAATTAGTGATCAAATGATGAAATCAGATAAGCAAAACACAAGGGATTTGCAAAGGCCAAGTAGTGTAGCTCAAAGTAACAAAGATGTGGGTAAAAGTCAAGTGAAAGCTAAAAGTATCCTAAAAAGCTCCAAAAAACAAGATTTTGTCCCTGAAAAAGAACATAGTTCAGTACTCAGAGGTAATATTGCAATAGAAAATAGAGGATATCATAATGATACAAGCCCAAACCGTTTGGCTTCATCCCCACCAAATTTCAATGAATCAAGAGAAAGTTTGTTGCACACTAGTGTATCTAATATAAATCAATCAAAAAGATCAATTGTTAGGCAATCAGGTGTTAATAAAATAAAACCAGCAAAAACAGGAAAACTTGAAAGCAAATCTGAAAATCAACCACAGAATGTAGAAATAAAGCAAATGTCAAAGCTGAAAAAAGCATTAGCCAAGATGGGATCAAGAACAAAAAAACAAGGAAATATTGAAAAAGATCAAGATACTGATACAATACCTGAAGATGTATCGAGTGAGGGAAACATAGTGGAGAAACCCAAAAGATCTACAAAAAGTAAGCTTGGTAATCCCTTAAAAAACTTATTGAAAAGGTCAAGAAAAACCGAGTCAAGACTTACACGTTCAAAAGACGGAGAGTCTTCTCAAGATGCGGATAAAATATATACTGAATTAAAACATCAACATTCCGATGAGTACAGTGAACAACACTCTGCAATTGGACAAATGTCAGATGAAACCTCAAACCAGACTGAAGCAGACCTTACATCTAATGAAGAATTAAATGCTACAAAACGATCTTCTCTTGATAACTTTCCATACAAACTGGGAGGATATGATTTAAGTTTGATGTTTTATTTACTTAACTTTGCTCAGTTTATTATTGGGGCTACTATGTATGATAAACTAATGGAGGTTTTTTCTATTTTATAAATTTGTTAATATACATTTTTACTATAAGTAGTGTCCGTTTATACTTATCATTACAATTTAAACAAAACCTGCGTATTATTATTTTGATGGTGTTATTTTTTGGTGACATAAAATACCAAAAGAACAAACCTAAGGACCGTTTGGTTTTTTTTTTGTCCTAGGGCGTTAGGCACAAGCTCGGGATTGTTTTTCGGCCAAAACTTCTGTGGGCGAGGACGGGTCGCTACTAGCCGAACTAAATCATACGGCTACCGGTTATTGGCAGTGCTGGTGGTAGAGGAGAATGAGTAGCAAAACACAAATGTTTTCACAAAAGTACCTCCGCCAACCCCCTTGCAATCTAGACCCAACCAGATATGGTTGCACACACAGAAATTTTGGCCAAACTGTACAATGGATCGGGTCGAACTTGATGGGATGGGTGAATCCTTTGTAATGTTAACCTCAAATCAGGAATTTTGCTACTTTTTTGTTATCCTTACTGTGTAGGCCTAAGTGTCTCCATCAAAAAACTTGTGTTTCCATTAGATGAGGGAAACATGTCAAAAATAGACATTGTTAAATCACTAAAAATGTAAAATAATAGTGGTTTAGTTACCTTTACTTTCATCCCAGTTCAATAAAAAGTAGTAATATCTACAACCATGGTTTCGACGCTAGTTGGTCACGTAGTTAGCAAGTCGAGAAGTATCTTGTCATAGTCGGTCGCTTGGACGTCGTCATATTTACACAAACACTGAATATAAATCAATTCTATACAATTCTATACAATTTCTATAACTTGTACCGTCGCGGGAGCCGGCAGGAGAACACTGAGGGCGACGGCGTCTGTGATTACATGACCCTTGCACCTTCTTTGGACATGGACTCGTCCTGTAGGCTAACTGTTCACCACAGGCCTGTGTTCCGTCCACGAGAACCTTTTATTTTAATCAATGTACGTGTGTGTTTATGTCCGTGTCCGTGTTTGTGTAAATATGACGACGTCCAAGCGACCGACTATGACAAGATACTTCTCGACTTGCTAACTACGTGACCATGACGCAACTAGCGTCGAAACCATGGTTGTAGATATTATAACTTTTTATTGAACTGGGACGAAAGTAAAGGTAACCAAACCACTATTATTTTATATTTGTCTTACCAGTTCAGGGGCAAGCCACAACAATGAGTACACTAAAAATGGTTTTTGCCCCATTTGGATTTTTCACACACAAAATATATAAATACTGCACTTATAATTATTCCAACTTTTGGTTAAACATTGTTTGTGAAGACATTTGAAACTTTCAGTCTAAATTTACTCTTAAAATTAAGATCATGTTACATTCACAGCAAGTATAAAACCAATAGTCAATGATAAAACCCAATAAAGTTGTTAAAAATGTGCTGTTAGAAGGTTTACTGAAATAGAAACACTTCATATTCAGAGTTTTAGGGACATAATCGAAGGATATTAAATTACAACCTGTAACTAGCCTACTGTTTTTATTTCACACCAAGCATGGTTACTGACCAGTTCCATTGCGTCTATCTGTGTAGGAGCAGACGACCGATGGGGAGGGCGAAGAAGATGATGAAGTAGTGAGCCCGACCCGAGGCCGTCGCATCTCCGACGGCATCCTCGGCATCATGTCCCGTCTGAACCTGAGTGCTAGAGGAACTACAGAGGGCACAGAACGCCTGGTGTGTCCCTGGGACCTGGATGCTTACTGCAGCAACGGCTCAGAGACTGCTCTGCACGTAGCGGTGCGTGGTCGCCACGGGGACATTGCGGGACTGCTTTTAGCAGCTGGAGCCAATCCCAACCTTGCCACACGACGACCTCTCACTGACCAGGTACTGTAGTAGTAGATACAGCTTACTGCTACCCAGCTGTGCTTTTTGATGGTGGAAACTTGGACCCAACTGTCTTTGATCCCAGCTGTTGTGCTCCTTGATGAATGGTTCTGGCTATAGAATCAGGCTATATTAGAGAGTTTTATAAAGGTATCGTCCCATTCATTCCTCACTAATAAACTATGGTACTTGTTGTACATATTAACAAGTGTACTACTCAAACATAGTAATTAGTGAAATTATAAATAGATTTATTATGAAATACTAATGCACAAAAATTGTTGTAAGATATGCTGAACTTTCTTAAAAAACAATGAATGTGTTATACAATATTGAGTCTCAGTACTTGTCCTCTCATAAGAGGTCTCTGTTCACACCGCGACTAAGATGTGTTGAGTTGGTATGTAGGTATTAGGAGTTGACAAACAAAGCCTGGTGCGTATCCTCCAAATATATATCTCAATAATATACAGTCATACCACATTGAAATAGCAAGCGATCCTCGCAGGGAGGGTTAAAAAAAACATGGAAGGATAACTGAAGATCAGATACAATAGTTTATAAGAAATAACAATATCTTTGCTATCAGTATTGATTTAGTTTTGGAGTTTAGTTCCCAGAATTTAAAACTCATTAATAGAGTTATGCTTATTAACTGTGGTTGCAGCCAATGGTAGGCCAGCAGGTACGTTCGGGCTGTGATGAGGCTATGACTGCGCTTGAGCAGGCTTGTATCAACCGTGACATCGCCACTGTGGATCTGCTGCTGAGACACGGAGCTAGAGACGATGACTCCAGGGCACTCGCTGTCGTCGTCACCAACAAGGATGATATCCTCACAGCCAAACTTCTGTCCATCAAGGTAAAATGGTCCATGACTGTGTGGCCAGACACATACTGCACATTCCTGGCCACTCAAACTGTAAAAGTGTTTCACCTCATGGCCACTCAAACTGTAAAAGTGTTTCACCTCATAGACAAATTGCCTCCAACTCAGCATGCCTTGCATAGCTTACAACTAGTCCTAGGAATTTGAATTCTTCCAATTAATACATTTATCTGGGTTTACTTATACAGGGTGTTTCACGAGAGGTGTCTCAAATTGATTACGGAAAAACGGCTTAACGTACAAGGATGAAATAAAATTATTTCCCGCTAAATCGACCCCGAGGAATAACATAAAAATATTTTTAACTTTTTCTCAATTCAGGGTGTACCAAAAACTGAGGGTCACTAGTTCGAATCTCGGAATTTTCAAATGTAAACATATGTCATGTTATACATCATTTTAAAGGTATTTGATAGACAAACATTTTGAGGAAAACAGAAATTAATTATCTTTTTCCGTTTCAAAATGGTGGCAGTTTGTTTTTTAAATCTATTTTTTTTAATACTCTGTGTTTCCTATACCAATGCATTTGGCGCTTCTCCGGTTGAATTTCCTTACTCGTTATGAAATTAGCTTTACTTTGATATGCTACAAGCAACGGTTATTTGAAATGATAAAAATTCAAAAAAAAATTTTTTTTTTATTTGTGAATGCTCATTCTTCAAAAATTTTAAATAGCAACATATGTCAAATGGCACATCATTTTATAGGTTTTTTAATTTCTAACAACTTTGTAATTTACACTTACTTTGTATTTCTTTTAGTTTTTGCGTAAATAACAAAAAACCTAATTTTCCTATATCAAATGCATGTTATTTGGGTTTAACAGTGAAGGCCCCATAAACCACGTCATACCCAAATAACATGCATTTGATATAGGAAAATTAGGTTTTTTGTTATTTACGCAAAAACTAAAAGAGATACGAAGTAAGTGTAAATTACAAAGTTGTTAGGAATTAAAAAACCTATAAAATGATGTGCCACTTGACATATGTTGCTATTTTAAATTTTTGAAAAATGAGCATTCGCAAATTTTCCAAAATAATTGTTTTGGAATTTTTATCATTTCAAATAACCGTTGCTTGTACATATCAAAGTAAAGCTAATTTCATAACGAGTAAGGAAATTCAACCGGAGAAGCGCCAAATGCATTAGTATAGGAAACACAGATTAAAAAAACTGCCGCCATTTTGAAACGGAAAAAGATAATTAATTTCTGTTTTCGCCAAAATGTTTGTCTATCAAATACCTTTAAAATAATGTATAACATGACATATGTTTAAATTTGAAAATTCCGAGATTCGAACTAGTGACCCTCAGTTTTTGGCTTACCCTGTATTGAAAAAATAAAAAAGTTAAAAATATTTTTACGTTATTCCTTTGGGGTCGATTTAGCAGGAAATAATTTTATTTCATCCTTGTACGTTAAGCCGTTTTTCCGTAATCAATTTGAGACACCTCTCGTGAAACACCCTGTACAACTGCTCCCTTCTTAATGCATTGTGTTTTATTTCCAGTTATTTAGCTTTATACTTATTTTATGACTATATATATATACTAGCTGACCCGGCGAACTTCGTATCGCCTAAGTTATAGGTTTCCCCTAAGACAGACCGATGGAAAGAAAGTACCGTTACGTTTAATTTTCAAGATGATCTCGTTCGCATCGCTCAATCACGTCCTGGTTGAAGTTCGTTCGCTACGCTCACTCACCTTTGGGTTGGAGCTCGTTCGCTACGCTCACTCACCTTTAGGTTGGAGCTCGTTCGCTGCGCTCACTTGCCTTCAGGTTAGCTCGTTCGCTACGCTAACTCGCCTCCAGGTTGAAGTTTGTTCGCTACGCTCACTCACCTTTGGGTTGGAGCTCGTTCGCTACGCTCACTCACCTTTAGGTTGGAGCTCGTTCGCTGCGCTCACTTGCCTTCAGGTTAGCTCGTTCGCTACGCTAACTCGCCTCCAGGTTGAAGTTCGTTCGCTACGCTCACTCACCTTTTGGTTGCAAATTAGCTGTTGTCATAAATGTAAAAGAAATAATAGTGCTGCACCCTGTTGGTAATCCTTGTAACTTTAATGCTATTGAACATCATAGAACAGAACCAACTTGTTTAATTGAAACAGCTGTTAAGATTCATTAATTCCATTTCTCATAAGGTTAACATGGGAAACTCCAGAGCCACTGGGGCGGAGCCCTTTTAAGAATTTCGAAACGGGAAATAGTTTACGTCCGATTCGCATACCTACAGAATTTACACACCAAATTTCATAACGATCGGTGAAGTCGTTCCGGAGGAGTTTGCAGACAAACACTGTGACACGAGAATTTTATATATTAGATATTTTACTGATGATGTCCTGGAAAAATCAGGCTGTAACTCAGATTTGCTTGCAATTAAGGCAATTTCATCTAATTATTCATAAGTTGTTTTTTTCTTGTGATGTGTGTAGGCCCACCCTGACCCTGAGAATAGGATCAACAAAAAGGCTATGAGCGAGCAGATCCCAGCAGCCAGTGGTCAGTTCAGTGTACAGAGTCTCACATACAGCAACATGTTTGCCAACACGCCTGTCATGATCAACTGGCATTGTCAGCGTTGTCAACTCACCCAGATACGACCTCAGTGGCTGGTCAGTGCCTTAGTTTGCAACTATCTTGTGAATTTTAAATTGAGACAGTTTAGTTTGATCTTTAACAATCAATTTGTAGAAATAATAAACTGTCTGAATAATCTCATATGGATGGATCAGTTTGCAGGTGCCTGTGTTGTCATTAGCCATTCAGCCTAATAAAGCCATATGTATATGTATATTTTTTAAATTTCTAACTAGAGGTTTTGTTTAAGAATTGTATGAAAACAAATTGAATATATTTCTTACTCGACTGTGGCAAGATCAGATACGCAGAGAGGTAAGACAATAGAGAAAAAAATTGAAACATGAAAAATAATTCACTAAAATAAAAAATAAAGTTTATTATTGAAACGAAAAAATTTTAAAATACACATTAATAATTTCACAATAAGCAAATTAACTCCATAGGTTTTTTTTCAACCAATCATCACTGTTTAAAAGATAAACAACAAAGTAAAAGCACCACTACTGAAACAAAATTAACTATAAGGTAAAGCAATACTAGTCCACTAAGCCAAAAATAAGGCATGAGAACTAGGTGGACTGTGTGGTATCTTTATCTATAGTGGTTTGCAAGTGTGGGAAAACAAAGGGTTAATTGCAGTCAATTTGCAGGCAACTAAAGCTTGCCCCATCTTTGAGCTCAGTCAGGGATGGCTAAAGTGTTGTCTTGACACATCAATGTCTCACAGTACTCGGTTGTTTAGAGGCGATCAAAGATCGGATAATGGGGACTCTACTGTACTAAAAATAAAACCCTTTTTAAATAAATAAACTTCTATTTCAAAAGAAGATCAGACCAGACCCATGGTTTGCATGTGGTCCGCAATGGGTCTGAGAGACAATTGTGCCTCTCCTCCTACCTTGTGGGGAAATTTTTCTCTTCCTCGCTCCTCCAACAAAGTTAAAACCTCTTGCAACCCTGATGGATTAGACAGTAGACATGCAAAAATTGATGTCGGTTGCAGGTAGATGCAGCGCTCCATGTCAACCCCAAGTTACGTCTGAACCCTCGCAGTCAAGATGTGGTGTTGTATGCCATCACCAGGATAGATGTGTCCAACAACTCCCTCACTTGGCTGCCTCCTGTGGTCTTCCAGCTGCAGAGTCTCAGGTCAGTAGACTAACACTGACCAAGCAAAATGAAGAGGTGATGCCGTTTCAAATTACTTATAAGTTCAGTTAATCAATTTTTAGAATTCAAAGACTATTTCGGTTAAAAGAGGTCTACAACAACTATTAGCGAATTTCCCTATAGGGAAGTAGCTATTACCGTAGGTGGCACGGTAAGACCCAGGCCCGGGACCGATTTACTTTTTCATTTTGATGTCCCCAGAGGCTAAAAACACCATTCGTTCAAATTTTTATATATGTATATATATATATATACGTCCGTGAACGCGATAACTTGAGTAATTTTTGTCCGATTTTGATGAAATTTAGTTTAAAGGTGTAACGCGGAATAAACTTGAATGAGTTCGCGAAGCAGCATGATCGGACCATGGGAATGGGGTTTTACGGGGGGTTTTATGGGGTAAAAAATGGGTTTTCTCATTTTTGACCCTCAAAATACAAAATTTCCCAATTTATCTCTAGACCTTTTTAAAGAGCTTAAAAAAACAAATAATTTAGTATATTAAAGTGTTTTTGTACGGTTATTGGTAACGGAGAAAATTCAAAAAATTGTAAATTTAAAATTCCCATGTTATTCTTATGGAGAATATTTTAAAATGTTGTTGTTTGCTTGTTTAGTTTATGGATATATTTTGATCAAACTTAGCAAATTTATTTGTTTTATACTAAGCTATGAATATTTTACTAAAAAATACATTTTATTAGTTTCTTTGTAGCAGCAAACCTAGGTACTCAGTCTTATGTTATTTAAGTAGATAGATTTATTTAAAAATCAACTCAGACAAATGGAAATTCGCTTAGTATGCAGGTTTGCTGCGGCGGGGGTATTTTTAACATTATTTCAATTAGGCCTACTGTAATTTAAAATATTTACAATAATTATACGCAAAATATATTTCTTAAAATAATTAACAGTACTTATTATCTAAATTTGATCATTATCACGGTATGAGATAACCAACATACACGATCACGGGATCTTTAAAAGCACCGTATGGAAATAAATCAAAAGCTTGGGGGGCGAAGTACTAAAGGAAATTCCTGTTTAGCTACCATTTGTCCCTGCGCTAGATTATTAGCTTTAAAATAACACCTCAGTTTTTAAATATCACTTAAGGAGGATTGGTGAAAAAGGAATGTTACAGAGAAAACCTTTTTTACATTAAGTATATAGATTTTTTGAAATTTTAACTTTGAACAAAAATCCATCAAATGAGTCCCTGATTGTTCCAGGTACCTGAATCTTGCACATAACAAGATAGAGAAGCTGCCCAGTGACAAGGATTCGCCACAGTGGGATGACAACAATAGAAAGAAGAAACTGAGACACAATCTCAAGCTGTACTCTGCTCCTCTGTTGGAAGAGTTGTATCTCCAGGTCAGTGTTAACACAGTCACCCACATCAACATCCAATGAATTACTGATAATGATAGAAGGTGTCCCCAACTGGGAATAAAGCTTTTATGTCAGTGGTTTATTTTCAACAGATGTTGTAATCATTCTTGGTTCAACAGACTAGTACTGTTTGTTTCGTTGCTGATTGTGACTCAATTAAAAAATCTTGTCATCTAAGCATTTTACAAAGTTTCTGATAAATTAGCAATTAGTTTATATCATAGACAAATAGAATAAATATAGACCGTCAGCAGTGCTGCTGTTAGCATATGTTCCAGCGCACACCGCTAGGAGTGCTGTGTAGTTACGGCGCACACCGCTGCAGCGTCTGCTGGTAGCATACGGCAAATAGTCTACGACGCCTGCAGCGGTGTGCGCCGTAACTACACGGCACTCCTAGTGGCACATCGCGGAACCTTCCTTTGACAGTCTATATTTATTCTATTTGTCTATGGTTATGTTTAAACATGGCTCACATAATGTATTTACCAAGCCGAAGTACAAGGGGGTTCTGTTGTTGTGTTGCAGTACAACAGACTGGAGGTGTTGCCAGATGAGGTGTTTGTGTTGCCAGGACTTGTGACTCTGGATGTATCCAACAACAAACTCTCCTGTTTGCCTCACAGAATGTGGCGAGCTCCCAAACTCAAGGAGCTCAATGCAGCGTTCAACCTCCTCAGAGATCTACCTACTCTTCAACCAGATGTTAGTAACGCCAAAAGTTTAAAAATTTACACACTTCATTGTTTTATTTTACTCTAAAAAATGAATCAAGTTGAATTTAGTATTTTATTTTTGCCTTATCAAATTCTAAATTTGACGAATCATCTGAAGAAAATTAAATATTGAATGTTTAACTAAGGTAAAACATATTGTGTATTTCCTGTGTTTTCTCTTTATGTACTCTGACCCTTTAGGGTTTAAATTTATCAGTTTGATCACTTATTTCCCTTTAATTGACAGAATGTCTAGTTTCAGGAGCTTTCTTTATCATGTCATTAGACTAAACCTCTTGTTCCACTTCCCTACCTGCTAGGACTGTAGAACCAGAATGGAAATCATGAGACTCCTGTCGCCACAAAGAGGCGACACAGTGTCACAGTACCTGAACACAGTGTCTGATTACCAAGTATGTCAAATTATAATTAGTAATTGAGTTGTCAAATGATAAATGTATAAGCCAAACAAAGTGTCAGGGGCTTTCTTTTTAAATGCTAAGAATCAATTTAATGTGTTACTTTCACTGACTATTGACACACAGGACATGAGTGACTCGGCCAGTGTGTGCTCCATCGAGTCATCTCGCAGTGTAGACTCTCAGCTCAGCTCTGTGGCTGACTCTCCTCTCCCTCCTCCCACGCCCGACCATGACAGCACTCCCAAGGATAGAAACGTTCGGTCAGTGTACATCCAACTGCCAAAGTAGTTAAACAAGTCACGTACTAAATTCTCGTTCAGTTAGCTGTATAAGGTAAGGTAATTAAATATTATTTTAGTAAACATTAATTATATACTAGCTGTTGGCCTGTCCTACGTACGGTAATAAAATAGTCGATTAAAACTGAATATACTTACACGCATAAAGAACCATTCTGGCAGTTTTAACAGGGAAAATCATCTTGTAAACAAATATCACGTAGCCACCTAAGCCTATTTCTTTCATCCGAGGCCTATACGATATGCATTTTAAATCCATTAATTTTACAATAAAACAGTGATTGTGTTGATTTGAAAAGCCTTGTAAGTGAGATTGGTGGTCGATTCACACACACTGGTTACTGCTTTAAAGTACAGTAGCTACACCAGCTTCCAATGCATAATTTCACTATATATAGTACCTTATTTTACCTCAGTGGCCACTGAAATCTTAAGAGAATTAGCTTCCCATTGTCTTATATCCCTTGCCACTTTCTAATGTTGATCCCAGTCTGGAGAAGTCTTTCATTGCTAGGTCCTCCCAAGTGGTCGTCTTACTTGCGGTACTCCTATGAATAAATTTTTTAAAGTTGGTGTATCTCCTCCCCCATGCATAGCCTGTCCATCCGAGCCTTTTACTTCTGGAAAGCACCCATATATCTGGGTGTTTAAACATTCCTCTTAGCTGTCTGTTCTTTCGTATCTCAACTGCCGTATCTTGAAATGGTCCGTATATTTTCTCTGCACTGGCACTCCATTCTCAAACCCACAATAAGGTTTTTTGGTTCTTTGGTCAGGGTCCAAGTTTCTGAACTATAGTAGGCTACTACTGGGATAATATGGTATGGTATGAATCAAATTTGGTTTCTACTGGCACCCTGCAGCTTATTGGACAGTCTTCTATAGACTAACCACACCAATTGACATTTGCTTTACTAACCAAAAGTTTGGTATGCCGACATAGTTTTGACATTATTAAATAAATCGTCCATACCCAGGGGTGCCCAGAGGGGGGGTACTGTGGCGCGTTTGCGCCACAGGAATTTTTGGGGGGGATATTTTTTTGCTAGCTGTCATAATGAATGTATAATTTTGTATAAGCAGCCCAAAAAAGTGTTTCTAAGTAGCTCACTATCACCACCAACAACATTTTGCCGTTCATAATTAAGATAACTTCTAAGAATGGTAAAAAAGGACCTTGCCAGACAATCCTTAATATACCAGTTTCGAATTTTACTTGCTACATATGTTTTGGTGGTTCTTTAACTCCACCATCGTCAGGATTTAAAAAAGATCCACTTCTAGAGGTGTCGTCAGAATACGACAAACATTTAATACAAAACACGAAACGATTACAGATAGGCCTGTCAATTCGTACATTGCCGTCGGCAGGACTGGAAGTAAGTAAAGTAAACTGAATCAGGTTCAGGTTATGACGGACCGACGTGGTCTCTGGATTGTCGTCTGCGTTTTCAACAGCTGATATTGGACTATTGTTGTGACTGAGAAGAGTATTGAAAATATAATGGGACTCATAATTAATTGAGTGTTTTCACTAAAAAAAATTGTGCTGTCAATAGTTTTATGTATATTTCAAACTCCTCGAAGTACTTAATAAATTTCCTTTTCTGCAGTAATGTAGAATGTCGAGACCATCCAGCATATAAATTGGTTATTATTGTCAATAATTTTGAATGGAAAAATCAATTGAATCCCATTATATTTTCAACGCTCTCCTCCGTCACTAGAATTAGTCCAATTTCAGGTTTTGATGACACAAACACCAATCCAGAGACCACGTCTTTCCGTCATAACCTGATTCAGTTTATTTCCAGTCCTGCCCGCGGCAATATACACGCGTGAATTGATAGGCCCATATAGGCCTATCTGTTATCGTTTCGTGTTTTGTGTACAAACGGATTGTCTGACAAGATGCGTTTCTACCATTATTAGTCATAACAGGCAATCCTGGGGCTATCAAAATGAATTATAAGATTACTTCGTCACAACAACCTTTTACTGGTGGCAATTATTAAGAGATATTGTGGGTATTTTGCCCGGCGATTTTTGTAGAAGGCAGCCTGGGAGTGGCGAGCAACAAGTCTGTCTTATTTCGTGACTCTGCCTTTAATTGTAAAACAATATACTTTTTGCCAAAGTATTATTAATGCACTTAAAGCTGTTTGAATTCTTAAGCCCTGTAAAAATTAATGCCACCAAATATATTGTACAGTTACAGTACTGTGTTGGAGTAGAGTAATTCACCGAGTAGGCCTATTGTTGTACGTTTTGAAGACGTTGTCTATTGCAATACTGAGCACACATATTGGCTGACAATACAGATTCTGAATTGTAAATTGAAAAACTTCTAATTCGTCCATTAGTTAGATTTATATTGATGTATTGTTAAATGACGCTTCATATTAAACATTTAATTTTGATTATCAGCAAGTTTGTTTTTCGTACCTCAAGTTTACTAAATACTTTAAATGCTTGTTTTATGAGGTAAAGGGAAAATTGTCAGATAAATAGTGAGGGGAGGGGTGAGGGGGTTTTAAATAGACGGCAGCATAAATTGGGGGGGGGGACTACTCCTTTGGCTTGGGGGGGGGGATTGCGCCTCTGGGTTTGGGGGGGATGGGCACCTCTGTCCATACCTATCCTTTATATCAATTTCACTGCATTAATTGATAAATAAATAATTAAACAAAGAAAAGTACAAACAATGACATATAGTTTGTTTTAAAGCAGCTGTTTATTTTAAAATGACATAATTTTTCTATGTTTTTCATCTATACCGTTATTTGTTCTAATATCCGTGATAGTTACCCACTGTCATTTGAATCTATATAAATCCTAATTTTTCATATTCATTTATTCAAACTATATCAGATATAGTTTAAATAAATGTGATATTTTGCTTATATCAGCGCACCCAAACGTAATCACACGTGAACACACCCCAAACATTTTAGAATTTACAAAAGGATAGTAAGTCTACTTGCTGTATCCTAGGTCAGTGATAACATTGTGTTTAATCTATGCCATCCATCTGTTTATCTCTGGATAACCGTTAGAGGTGTGATAGTAATATAAAATTATAAAATTATTCCTGGTCATCCTTGATCTCCTTGTTTGATAACATCAATATTTTTAGGCCTAATTCAAACAAAGTTTAAACAGTCAAACATGTATTGTAAACAAAACGCTGCCAAGATTAATTAAAACTTGTTAACATTGTTATCTTCCTACTCTATCCTAAAAAGTTCAAGCAGTAAAATAATTTGCTTAGGCTTTTCTTTGAAGACTCGTGGGTAGAGCCTCGATTTGCACAGTATACAGCAATGGTCTTGGTCATCTCTATTGTCTACTCATCTCTACTAATCTTACTTATTTCCTTTATCCAATGATAAAGTCATAGACTAAATATAATAACCTCATTGTTCTATAGAATATTTATATATATATATATATATATCCAGCTGTTAGTTTAAAGTAATAATTACACTAAAACAAAGATTCTAAAATCTGCTCTAAAATATATATATATATATTAGAACATCTAGCATTTTACTATTAACTGTTGGATACTGAAGGATACTACAGTAGAACGTCGATTATCCGAAGCCCGGTCATCCGAAACGTCGGTTAACCGAAAGGAAGAAAGAAGCAAAAATCAATAAAATCGCGCGCCAATCACGACTAGCGAGTGCTACGCCACCGCACGGCTGCTAGGCGGGAGGCGGGGCAGGCCTGCGTGACGAAATTGTTGTGCGCTATGGCCGTGCGCGCCACTCCTACTCTCACTGACTCAGTCTCCGTCTCAAGTCTCACTAGTCTCAGTCGCCTGTGAGCATTCGACAGTGACAGTTCGTACGGGTTTCTATTGTACTGTTTCATTCTACACTGACTATGTCGTCCAAACGTAAACGTGTAGTGCAGAAAAATTTCTTTCTGTACACATTCTGATAGTCCAGTTCTAAGTACTGTTGTACATGTTTGTTGCTGTAGTGTAAAAATAAATCTGGATGTTAATTAATTACATTTATATTATTGTACAGTATCCACAGACGCGAAATCGGCAAATCGCCGCCGGCCGCTATCCCTTCCCGTCATTTCCCATTCCCTGTATTTTTCCCGTCAATGACCGATTATCCGAAAAATCAGTTATCCGAACACCCCCAATCTCCAATTAATTCGGATAATCGACGTTCTACTGTATTGCTGTCTTAATAGTCTAAGATTTTACTGTAAATTTAAATAATCTGTCATCCTCTTACCAAATAAATGAACGTATCAATGATTATAGCATTATACATTGTATAAATAAGTCAACCCTACTTATGTCATCTAATTTGTATCCAAATGCTGAACTTGTGTCACAAACGCTGAATGTTTACAGCTGTTACGTTAAGCAAATGGTAACCAAAAGCTAGTCTTGAATGTTAGCATCGGCTGCCAGACTTTAAAAAATTAAAACTTAATTTATATGAACTGAAATTCTAAACTAAAACTATGGCTTCGACATTCCCTAGTTCTCAAAATTATCATTCTTTCAACAACAAAATCATGAAAATCCGTCAAGTGGTTGATTCAGAATCATGAAATAAAAAAACCCTGTCACGTTTTAAAATATAATATGATGATTGTAATAGCTCAAGCTACTCTGGATATCTGGCAGTCTAGTAACGATCTGGCTCAACAAAATCAGTTCTTGTAAAACAAGCAGTTACCTAGTATTTGAATTTTAGTTTGGAACTTGGATCATACAATCAGCATTGTAATCTAATCCTATTGAAGACAAATTCATGCTTTATCAGGAGTAACTTGTTAGTGCTATCTAGGAATGAGTTACAACATGAATTACCATTTGTAGGTTACTAAACCTGGTCCAACACAACGTGTGGAGTCGCAGTGTACAAGTCATGGAGCAAATCAGCGGTGGAGATGAAAATAATCAGCAGAACTGTAGTCATCTGTCAGCTCTCAACCTAGCACACAACCAGTTCACCTCCATACCCAATACACTGGCCTGCCTGGCAGTCAACCTCACTAGACTCAACCTGGCCTACAACAGGTACTGACTAGGATATTATACCTAACTGTAGTCATCTGTCAGGTCTCAACCTGGCACACAACCAGTTCACCTCCATACCCAATACACTGGCATGCATAGCAGTCAACCTCACTAGACTCAACCTGGCCTACAACAGGTACTGACTAGGATATTATACCTAACTGTTGTCATCTGTCAGCTCTCAACCTGGCACACAACCAGTTTACCTCCATACCCAATACACTGGCCTGCCTGGCAGTCAACCTCACTAGACTCAACCTGGCCTACAACAGGTACTGACTAGGATATTATACCTAACTGTTGTCATCTGTCAGCTCTCAACCTGGCACACAACCAGTTTACCTCCATACCCAGTACACTGGCCTGCCTGGCAGTCAACCTCACTAGACTCAACCTGGCCTACAACAGGTACTGACTAGGACATTATACCTAACTGTAGTCATCTGTCAGGTCTCAACCTGGCACACAACCAGTTCACCTCCATACCCAATACACTGGCCTGCCTGGCAGTCAACCTCACTAGACTCAACCTGGCCTACAACAGGTACTGACTAGGATATTATACCTAACTGTAGTCATCTGTCAGGTCTCAACCTGGCACACAACCAGTTCACCTCCATACCCAATACACTGGCCTGCCTGGCAGTCAACCTCACTAGACTCAACCTGGCCTACAACAGGTACTTACTAGGATATTATACCTAACTGTAGTCATCTGTCAGGTCTCAACCTGGCACACAACCAGTTCACCTCCATACCCAATACACTGGCCTGCCTGGCAGTCAACCTCACTAGACTCAACCTGGCCTACAACAGGTACTTACTAGGATATTATACCTAACTGTAGTCATCTGTCAGCTCTCAACCTAGCACACAACCAGTTCACCTCCATACCCAATACACTGGCCTGCCTGGCAGTCAACCTCACTAGACTCAACCTGGCCTACAACAGGTACCTAATTACTAGGATATTATACCTAACTATAGTCATCTGTCAGCTCTCAACCTGGCACACAACCAGTTCATCTCCATACCCAATACACTGGCATGCATGGCAGTCAACCTCACTAGACTCAACCTGGCCTACAACAGGTACTTACTAGGATATTATACCTAACTGTAGTCATCTGTCAGCTCTCAACCTGGCACACAACCAGTTCACCTCCATACCCAATACACTGGCCTGCCTGGCAGTCAACCATGCTAGACTCAACCTGGCCTACAACAGTTAAAAACGGGTATTCAATTATTATTTGGAATTTCTTTCCAACTATTACTCACTATTTTTAGGCATCTTACTAAAAGTTTACTCATATGAGTCACATGTATAAAACATCAGTTAAAAGTCAATATAACGGTTCCCATGATTAAGGTTTAAGAGATCCCCTAATTGGAGGATCAAGGGCAATAGACTTTATAGTATTTTGACCATGGAGGACTGATTGACTGCACTGTTGGTATGTAGCCTGCGCAGTATGGGCCACATGACGTCGTACCCTGCCAGCCTCAAGCAGCTAGACCTGAGTCACAACCAAGTGTGCTGTTGGCCTAGTCTACCTCAGATAGAGCTACTGGATGCCATGGAACAGGCGGCGATTACATGCTATTCAGGCGATGCTTGCAGTAAACCCGCCAGACCCGTATCTGGTAAGCCTACTCTTAGTAACCAAAATTTGCATCCATTTAAATATCAAATCATCAATATAATTTCAAGTTTTTTATTCTATTTTGGAGGCTTTTAGTTGGACCGTATTGTCCACATGTCCCATATTGGTTAACTATTCCATCAGTGGGCCTATACAATGTAAAGCGATATCCTCCTACGTTGGACAACTTTCCATTTTCGGCAACAACTTTCCAATGTGGCCCCACAATCTATGATACCAGAGATATTACTAATTCAAAATTATGTTGGTAATTTAAGTTTAACAGTTTTTGCCAAATTATAAAGGGTTTCACATGTACTATTTGGTATGTTTTTCAACATAAATTAAGTTTCCAGAAGTTGATTCATGGCATATATTAAAAAGCTAATGAGTGTGAGAGTAAAGATTGTCTTAGGTTTGAGTATCAGCATGTAATAACATTGTTTTTTTCTAATTTCTTAGATTGATTGTGAATTAGTGATACTCACAATATTAGAATGACTTGCCAGTACTTTAAAAATTCCCATTGCAACCAAAGGACAATAAAGAATTTAACTACCAGAGAGGCCTATAATTATTTACGATGGGTTACAGGTCGTAGACAAGCAGGTCGGTCACTGAGGACTGCTATACTTAACAGTCTATGTACTCACCGTAGACATCTGCGTCTAGACAACCTGAGGACCCTGGTGTTGGCGGATAACCAAGTACAGAGGATACAACTGACCACTGATGATGACGGCCTCAACATCTCTCAAGACAGCGAGGAGCACGACCCTGACTGGGTCAGTAATATTAGATGTGCAAAAGGAAAATACTAATAACATTATTTGCTGTGCTCGCAGAAGACATTCACAATTCAGCCGATATCGCAGAATATGCTCTTGAGTTTGATACGATTGCGAAAGATGTTCTCAATTTTGCAATGACCGCAGAAAATATTCTTAATATCTCCATGACTATGGAAGATGTTCATGATTTTACCATGATCACGAATGAAGCAATGATTTTTCCGAGGCTGCAGAAGATGTTTTTTATTTCTCTGTGACTCCAGTAAATTTTCACAATTACTTTGCGATATTGGGGAGATCATGTTCAATATTGTCAATATTATGTTCAATATCATGTTCAACAAAGTAAAAAATATTTTGTTTAGAAGTTAATGAACGCAAAACATTTCTCTGGTTTAAATTTAAAATAGTGAAATGATATACAATTCAGCTAAAATTTAATTTTTCTTTTGGTCTATTTTTTCTTTTTGGTCTGTTCTTGATCAAATGCTCATATTAAAAACTCCATTAATTGAAAATTGTTTACGTTTCTTATTTATTTGTTCATCTTTAAATTTTCCCTTTCTTGGCATAACTTTATAAAACAAAACTTTATATCTGCTCAAGTTTCATTAATCATGGCTATAAAAATCTTGAAGTAGAATACTTAAATCATTTGACATTTTCATCAAGAAAACTATTAATTGGTATTTTTTTTTTATCAAGACTTTCTTAATAGATAGCATACCATTAATAGATTTCTCAACACTATTAATATTTTTGATAATAAATATCATAAAAACCTGCTCCTATTAAAAAAATCTTTGTTTGGTTTTATTTGGTTGCTGCCTCACTGGTCTTCAAATAAAATTGTTTTTTTAGGTAACATATCTGTTAAGGTTTGTTTCTATTATCCTGTATTACTGTACCATGTCTGTACTGGTGGTTGTGTTGGCAGGACATGATGGCAGTCAGTGGAGTGAAGGTGAAGCTCATGTTCCCAGCACTCAGCATGTTAGACATCAGCAACAACAACCTGAAGGAGATCCCTGTCAGTATACACGAGCTCAGCAATCTGTCTGTCCTCAACGTCAGCGGAAACCCAGGTTTGTAGTCTTGTACTCTTAGAATTTTACATGAAATAATATGACGTCAATCGTCACATTTCCTCTAGCTGTAAATTGTGGTTGAACTTGTTTCAAACTAAGATCATTTTTGTTGTGTAGACATCAGTGAGCTGCCGCCGCAGATGGGGTTGTTGTCTCGACTATGGAACCTCAACACTCGAGGATGCAGTCTACAAGAGCCACTCAAGTCCATGATAGACTCGAAGAAGTACAAGACAATGGACGTAGTGGGGTATCTCAAGTCAGTGCTGGAGGATGCTAAACCGTATGCTCGCATGAAGCTGATGATTGTCGGGATACAAGGCATCGGCAAAACATCTCTACTGGAACAACTGAGAATGGAAGGCACTGGCTCATACAAGAAAAAACCAACTGAGGTATTTTATCTTTTTTATCTCAGTTAAAAGAAAAATTGTTTTGATGGTCCAAACCTTGGTCTTGTTACTATCTAACACTCACACCACCATAGTACATAAAATATTACACCAAGGTTTATTAATATATAGTGAGTATTACTAGTATTAGGGTGTAGTGTCATGACCTTTTGTCCCTTTGATAGATAGCACCATTAGTTGATAGCCCTGGGAATGGCATCTGGGTCTAGTACCAACATTCAGCGATCTTCAGATTTGAAAGCGAACATTATAACCACTTGGCTATCCAGACAACAATCGACAATCAAGAATTGATTATAATATGAGCATTACATGACTGAATAATTTATTTTAGAGTAGGATATCAATGTAAGCTTGCAGGGCCGGATCTAGACAATTTTTGAGTGGGGGCAAACTAAAATTTGCCGCCCCTCCCCCCCCTTCACCCACAACAAAAAATCCCTCACAAATTAAACCAAAATGGAATAGGTAAAGTGGAATAGGTAGATATAACGAATTCCTTGATATAACGAATTTTTTTTAATGCCCTAGAACTCTCCATAAGACACAATGTATATTTTACCTCTACATAACGAACAAACTATAACAACGACCTTGATTTAACAAATTTTTCGTGATTTCGGCTAAAATAAGACACCTCAATATAACAAATTTATCATTGTCAGAACCTCTACATTGCGAATTTAACCTCTGCATAACGAATTGTCTACGTCTTTCCCTCGATATAACAAATCCCCCACCCAATTATTGTTTTGGGAAAATCTGTTTCTTTATCAAATGAAATGGAAAGGTCACGTCATCGCTTGCGCTAACATTCGTCTGCTCCGTTTTACATCTTTGTCTGCTGTCTCTGCGCGCGCTATGTTGCAACTGAGAACTGATTTCATTCACTGAGGACTGATGACGACGTAATGTTTAGTAAGCTGTGATTGGGCGATATGGGATAACTATGGTGAATTGTACAATTTTTTTGATAAAGAAAAACCTAAGAAAGAATATTAAAACAAAACCAAAGAGAAAGAATAACAACATCGCTATTTTAACATTCCTTTTACGAGTATTTTTACTATCCTTAAGTTGGCTATGATTATACACTTTTATAATGACTTATCTAATAATTTATTGTTTTCAATACGATTTGTTTCAACTAGCATTAGCAACACCAATGCTATAGTTAATGATTATTATTGACATTCCTCTGTTGTGATAAATCAGTACTGTACTGTAAGTAGCCTACCGGCCTATCGCGAGCAGTTGCTTACAAAACTTTCTACTGTTTTGTTTTGTTCTTTACATAATTTATGACTACGCAATACAGTGTTTGGCTAGGTTTTAGGAGGGTTAGAACAAGCTGTGATTTTAAACTTATAGTTTTTAACCTGTACCAAGGTCAATGCCATTGTCATGATTGCGCAATATTCAAGATCCCTCCCCTTTATTATGCCGGATAATTTAGATTCTACTGTACAATGTAAACACTGTACTGTAAAGTATTGTAGCCCATGCTACTTTAATTGTACTGTATTTTAATGAGGTCAAGTCCCGACCTATATTGATCGACGCTGGTTCTGAACCTCGACTTAGCGAAATTCCTGCAAACCTAACCTCTATATAACGAACGACGGCAGTGAGGCAGGGCGGCATGGCGCCTTGACAGGGATGGCGATCAGCTGAAATTCTAAACAAACTTTGCTGTGCTGCTAACTATGCTATTAGGGCTCTCAGTGTTTTCTACTCCGTTGCAATTTATATTGATTTCTATTGTAAAATTATTGTTTGTTTATTACGTTATGCAGTTTTGAAATTACTTAATTGGCGTTCCTTGTGACGTTCGGCTCATTAAAAACTTTTACAAACTGTATTAAACAAATTTTCTGCAACCAGAAATTTACCGCCCCTCAACCCTGCCGCCCGGGGCAACCGCCCCCTCTGCCCCCCCCCCCCTTGTTCCGGCCCTGTAAGCTTGTAAGGTAATAAATTTTTATTAAAAAATATTAGTATTACCATGGTAGTACTTTTCAGTATTTTTTTTTTTTTTTTTTAGTGCTATTATTGCTGTTATTAATATTTCAAAAGTAATTTCAATTTCATGAAAACCTGTACCTAGTTTGAGGTTTGAGGTTCAGACTGGTTACTATTATTTTGTAATTCACTTTTTTCTTAATTATAGGAAAAAAGTGGTCCCTACCCTGCATAATGTTCAATTTGAGAAAATTTTACTTATCATTTTTTAAGTTCAGTACTATATATTTCTTTAAAACAATATATAAATTAAAATGTTACCTCCTTTCACTTTTAGGGGTCTGCGGGTCCCCGATTTTTTCGGGTCGGGTCGGGCCAGCGGAAGGCCCGAGAGACCGGGTCGGGTCAGAGATTTGTTCGGGCCAAGATCGGGTCGGGCCAAAAAAAATAATTATTAGGCTATTTTTAAAGTTATAATAAGTAATTTTCAAAGAAACACTCTTATATACATTATTACAGAGGAATTAAAATGTTAAAATTAGAATTAAATATTAAGTTTGCTCACGTTTAAGAACAAAGACACAACAGAGCAATTATTGCCTTAAGCCCCGTGTACACGTAGCTAGTTTACTAGCAGCTAGTATTCGCTGCTAGCACTAGCTGGGCACACTAGCGCGAAAATTCCCATCTACACGTGGCTAGTTATTAGCGCTTATTATTAGCGCTAGTCATGTAGAAGTGAAGTGTTCATTGGTCGCAATAGTCATTTCAGTTTAGCACAAAATGTCTTCTGTTCCCTCCCAGATAGCAAAAAATACTTGATTAAAGCTTGAAACAAGTTTGAATCAAGTTTGCTTGGATGGGTCCGTAAACTTGATTCAAGTTAATATCATGCGTCGAAGTTCCCGCTCTTCCAGTTTGAATAAAACTTGAAACATCTAATTTGAATAAAACTTGAACTATCTAATATAAATATAGATTGAATAAAATACTTGATTCAAGCTTGAAATAAGTTTGGTTTGTCAAATCTGCAAACTTGAAGGATCGGGTTTGTAAACTTGATTCATGTTAAAATCATGCGTCGAAGTTCACGCTCTTCCAGTTTGAATAAAACTTGAAAAATCCAATTTTAATAAAACTTGAAATATCTAATTTGAATAAAAATTGAAACATCTATTTTTATTAAAAATTGAAGAGTACAAGAAATAATTCTTCTTTAGCCACTTACAAGCTCTTTTTTATTTCTGAAAATTTAATTCATATGCTTTTACCAGGATTCACACAATCTTGACACATGTAATACAAATTTCATATTTTTTAGGTTGAGGAGCATAGCACAATATAACCTTCCAATATTTCAGATAATTGTTCACAATCACAACATAATCTAATAACTTCAACACCTCTAGTTGTTAAATGCCAAGACACTTCTCTAAATAAAAAAGCGAGATACCATGGGAATGTTGCTGGAAGTCAACAGTCCCGGAAGATCAAATAATTTATACCTGTGCCGCTAGGTCAAAAACTACAATGTTTGCAGTGTCTGTAGATCAAAAGTCCCAGTAAGTCAAAAAATACAGTCCGAGCTAAAAACGTGGTCTATGTTAAAGCAATTGACTTATTGGGAATTTGACCTAATGCAACAGCAGTTTTAATATAACGAAATACGGTAAAATACAAGTTCAGTTTCGCTGAGTCAACAGTGCCGGAAGATCAAAAGCAATAAAAGTGAACGTCGTTTCAGTGTAAAGTAGACCTCCTGCAACGCTTACTACACCAACAAAACTCGCTTTTAGTTACTTCGTGTTTTGTCATAATTAGAATAGAGCTAAAATTATCATATTTGGTACATACCATATCTATTAATGCTTCTTGACAACTGTTTGGTCATCACTGTAAATAGGTATAGCCTTTCGTCAAAATTTGTGGCATAAAATACCCGCAAGGACGATCTGAAAATTTCTGGCTATTAGGAGATTCATTTCCTTCTTTACAATACTTATTTCGTGTGCCTATGACATTTAAGGTACCTATGACACTTGAAGAGTGGAAAGCTATTCAAACTGGTTATTGTTTACAATGGAACTTCCCAAACTGTTGTGGAGCGCTGGATGGCAAACATATTCGCATAAAAAGGCCTTTGAATTCTACGTCAACATTTTTCAACCACAAAGGTTTCTATAGCATAATACTATTTGCTATGGTTAATGCCGACTACACTTTCAGTTTCATTGATGTATGCTGTGACGGAAGAGCCAATGACAGCACAATTTTCAAAAACTCTGACTTAAATATAGCTTTGGAGCAAAATCTTCTTCAGTGGCCAAAGAATGGTTTATGTGTGGCTGATGATTCTTTCCCGCTACGTCACAATCTGTTAACAACCTATAGTCACAGAAACTTAGAATTAAGTGAGAGAGTATTCAATTACCGACTCTCAAGAGCCAGAAGGGTATCCGAAAATGCATTCGGAATTCTGGCCTCAAGATTTCGAGTCTTCACAACAACACCTATCGCAGTATCAGTCGAAACTGATCACCGGCGTGTGGCGAGTGGCGATTAGCACTAGCAGAAGTGCAAATGCCCCGCTAGTACCGCGCTAGTTCGCTAGCACTAGTGGTCACGTGACCACCCCCTCCACTTATTAGCGCTAGTAATATCAAACATGTTCAAAACGACTAGCAGCGAGTAAAATGCTAGCGCGCTAGTAATTTTTAACGCTAGTAGACCGTTTACACGGAGCGAATTTACTAGCGCTAATCAACTAGCTGCTAGTACTAGCCTCGTGTACACGGGGCTTAACTGTCACTAGCCAGAGCCAGTCGTCTACTGACAAAACAAACGTGACGCAACAGTGCAAAGAAAACGAAGTCAAAAGAAAGACTATTTATCCAGAGGTACCAGTTTAATTATTTATTGTTTATTCCATACCTAGTTTAAATTATATTTTAGTATTTTATTTACATAATAAATTATAAACAAAAGAAATATCTGATATAGTGTACAGATCTGTATCTTGTTCTTTTATTTTCCTATTGTCCTTTTTGTCATTCAGTAACAAAACAAAACAACACTTCTGATCGTCTGGTTCGGCATTTTATGGTCACCATTTAATTTATTTTTAAGTATCAAGTATCAACAAGTCTACAAAGAGGTTAGGCCTAAATATTTTATAATTTTATGAAAGTTTTCATCAGTAAAATTATTTTTTTCTTAAGTTAGATTGAGTTTCAAAATAGATATTTCTAAGATCCAATACAATATTTACAAGACACAAACTACCATGAATTAATTTCTTTGGAAATTATCTGTAACAGTTATATATTTTTGAATAAAGAAAATATATCTTTTTGTCTCTACTTCCTTGTTTTGTTACTTGTATTTTGTCAGCAATTGGAACAACCGGGTGGTGTAATAGTGGCGGGGGAGGGGGAGGGTCTATGACCTTGAGTGTCCCCGCCTGGCTCGGGTTGTGTAAGATGGGAGGGGAGGGGAGGGGGAGGGTCTGTAACCTTGAGTGTCCCCGGGCCCGGCTGTGAGAGTGATTCATGGTTTTTTGTTTACATTCTACTACCCTTCCTTCGAGAAAAAGACCCTACAGTTTCAAAAACATTGACTTACAGTATAAAAACATTGAGTTGTGTTGCTAATTAGGGCACTATAATGTCTCTGCTGTCTGCTTATGTTGCCAAATTAGCATTTAACTTTCTTTTCTCTTGATTTAATATAATTTTCTATATATTAAGAGTTCCTTTTCGGGTACCTAATAATTGTGATATTGTTTGACTTGAGTTTATGGATTTTTAATTATTTTCATTTATTAGCTAAAATCAGTTGTTTTAGGATTTTAATCTCTTGCAATACCTATAACTGTGCCTATAACTGTGTATGACATGATATGCAATTTTTACAGTCTTTACTATAACTATACCATAAACAATATATGTGTGTTATTTATTTTTTTAGAGTTTTATAGTAAATTAGTTTACACAATATCTTTTCTTCAATGAGTTCTCCACTTGTCATGTTGCTTAGTCTATTACTATTTTAGGCCCTGTAAAAAATAATTCCTATGTAAAGCCGTAGGCATACTAATGCCAATAATAGATAATTCTTTATTTATGATGATGTAACTAATAATGCTATTGTAAGTGTGAGAGGAGGTTAGGAGGCAGGGAATGAATGATTCATATTGCATGGTGGAAACATAGAATTTTTATTTTCTTCTTGTTTGCAGTCTTGAAGCCACAGGCCCTAAACTTGTGATAAGGTTAATTGATTTGTTTATGATCCATTTATATTAAGTTCCATTACAAACTTGTTGTAATATAGCTGTTTAGATATTTCAATAGTTATGAAAATGGGAAAGAATGGCTTGATAAAAAAAAATATTTTCTTCTTTCTTGCATTTGAGGCAACTCCTAAGCTGTAAATAAGTTATGAACATGAAATAATATACATAAATACAATCTTTTTCCATATGTTATTTTCAAGTAATATTACAAACACAGATAGGAGTTAAAAAAAGAAAAAAAATCCGGTAATTAATAATTTTTGGCCCGACCCGATTTTGGCCCGAAACCCGAGGACCAAAATTATTGGCCCGACCCGACCCGAACCAAAAAAGTCTGACCCGCAGACCCCTACCTTTCATGTATTAGTTATGTCCCAAACTTTAATTAATGTATTTAGGATTTTTTAAAGGATTTTAAAACTTACCTGAATGGGAGAGTCCAAACTTTTACAGTATGCACAAAGCTTTAGTACTGTATTCTAATGTTTTGTGTATATACTGTAAAGTTTTGTGTATACTGTACCAGTTTGGATTCTTTCCCATTCAGGTAAGCCTGCTATCCACACAAAAAATCCTAAAAACCAAGGCCCTTGTCCTATATGTTACACCTTTAATTAATGCTTGTTTATAGCACTGGGCCAAGCGGATGGGCAACAAGAACATCAATGTGAAGACCTCACGGGGCACCAACATGTCTACTGTAGGGGTGGACATTGGAGATTGGGTGTATGAGAAGAAGGTGCGCGGCCACTCCAATCACGGACCTGTAGTCTTCAGGTCAGCTAACATAAACTCTTTTTTTCTTTAAAAAATCTTATACATGATTGTTGTTTACTACTTGTAATTTTGGCAACAACCCTCTCTCAAAAATGAGTTACAACCAATGAACCAAATATTGTTCTTGTAATGATTTCATGTTTTTTATCAATGTTGAAGTGTCAAAATTATAAGTAAAAGTAAATCAAATGATTTAATAAAATTTTTATTTGAACTTATTTTTTCTTATGTACTAATAAACCATTTTTGTACTTTTTTGAAAACTTTAGAACCCACCAAATTTAGCATTTTGAAATGAGTTTTTAATTTTACAATACAGTGTGTGGACTGTGGAGTTGTACCTTTTTTTTAAACTAATGTTTTTACAAAATTAATGTTAGTTTCTTTAAATGTTAAAAAATGTTTTTATACCAACTTTTGTTGATTAAATAAAGAGTTGACAATGTGAGTAAAATTTGGTTTGCCTTTTAGAAGGAATAGTTATCACTTTTAAGGTCAACATAACCTTATTGGGCTAGTTCAAACAGTTATCATACTGAAAGGAAAGCAAATTGTTCAATTAAAACAAATGAATAGGTCAGTAGGCAATAGGTCATTAATTTTTTCATAGTTGGATGTGAACTAGCACTGAGCAATCTTACAACGCGAGTACTTTCTTCTTAATTTTAATTTGTTTAGTCAAAACATCTGTTACTTTCTAGACAGCCCTGTTATGTCAATGTTTGCATAAAAGTATTATACTCCGTTCACAAAATTTAGGCGGTTTTAGTGGAAGAAATATATCGACTTAGCTTGATCTACCATTACAACATAGCACAATAGCTGAGATTTGTCAAAAGTCAATTAGCTGCAACATACATTATGCAGAAAGTAGTGGTGAGAGAACATCCCTTTAAACCACCTAAATTTTGTAAACAGACTCTATAAGTTTGTAAACCAACCCGATTTATACTTCATAACAATTTTAAAATCTTTTTAAACGTTTAAAAAATGTTAAGGTATATCGTATACTTATTTATGAAATAACAAGAGTCAGCTTAAAATGGAAATAATTGTTATTAAATCACTATTCAGGACATGGGACTTTGGAGGGCAGAGGGAGTACTATGCTACTCATCAGTACTTCCTGAGCAAACGCAGTCTGTATCTGGTGGTCTGGAGGATACCTGACGGACAACGAGGCATTGCAGAGATACTACAGTGGCTAGTCAATATACAGGTGAGTCAGGCATGGCTTACTGGAAACCCTGCTGTGTTATAGTGTAAACAGTAGTTAGAAAACGTGTCATGTCAATGATAATTGATAAATGCCCTAATTTGAGTGTTGAAGATAATATTATGTATAGCTAACGAGTTTTTTAAATTTTAAAACCACTGACCTTTTCTAGTCAACCTTTGTTTTTATGTGATCTAAAATTTATATGTTCAACCTCTCAGTTTCTAGGTCCCTTTGTAATGCTTTACAAACCCCTAGTGAAAAGCCTCAAATCCTGTTGGCTGTGTGGGTTTTAAGACATTGCAAAGAGATATTCATTGGTGATGACTGTTATTGTTGGTTGACAACCATAACTAAGTTTCATATATTTTGTAGGCTCGAGCACCCAACTCTCCTGTTCTAATAATCGGCACTCATTACGACATGATGCAGCAGTATCCATCCTCACGCTCAGAAGATTTGCAGCAACTCATCCGAGACAAGTAAGTTTACTAACACTCCAACAGGCAAACTTGCTTTTACTCTGATACCATTTTAGATTTGTTTTACTTAGTGTACTAACATTCATCTATGCTTCAGAGTATTTTTAACTAAAACGACATGCTAGTTTTTAATTTCGGTGTTCACTATCAACTATCACATTAACATATTACATGTTAACCGTTGTGTCTGATGCCGCAGGTTCATCAATGTAGTGGATGCAGAGAAGTGTGGTCTGCCTCGAGTGTTGGACACCATTGAGGTCAGCTGCAAGACACGACACAACATCAAACTGTTGTGTAACCTCATCTACGACACTGTCTTCAGCCTTCGCCCACCAGGTACACCCTACAGTAGGCTTAGTGTTGACCAGAAGGTTGCAGAGTTTAAAAGTTCTAGGATATTGGGAAAAAGCCTTAAATTAATACTGTGACGAACACTTTACAAATTTTTTTCTAAAAAGAAGTTTGAATTACCTTGTTTTGTCAAGTGCCCTAAAGGTACCATTGACTTTTGGATATTGAAGTAGGTAAGGCATCCAATTTATGATGCCTGGTATTTATATGAACCAGCTGTCCCCAATTTTTCACTGTAAGAGTCCAGGGACTAATAGGTACACAATAAAAGAACACAAAACATAACATCGATATTTCGTCCTGATGTAGGACTTCTTCAGTAAGTAGATTGAAAAAAATAATAATTTTCATTACGTGAGAAAATCATTCTTCTTTAACCTTTTATTCTTGAAGATGTCCTAGATATAAAGGGGAAATGTCTGTGTTATGTTTTGTAGCCATAATGAAACATATGTAGCCGTGGGGGTAAGAAGGAAGGAGGGAGACTATTGTTTGCTATTGCGGGTTCGGGGGCGATATATGGTGGTTATGGGATAATGGCGGGAATTCGGGAAATCGGAGGGAATAACAGGGTAATGCTAATAGGGTTGGAATTGCTATGTCTGGACCAAACTTAACTTAAGCGTGCTGAATCTGCTACCAATAAAATTAGGAAGATTGCTGGGGACCAGAGGGACGGAGATCTTTACCCAAATCAGAACACCTGCCTAGCCAGCTTTGATTTACACTAACTTAACTAACTATTTAAATTGTGTACCTATCCTTCCAACTATGAACTGAACATGGATAATTACTCAGAAATATTGCAAGGTGAATGGGATAGTATGTAAATTGAATACTGAATGTGAAATATGTATGAATTTAATTGATAATTGCTAAGCTACATTCTAGGATCATGTGGTTTAATTTTTCATGTTTGAAAAGGTTGGTTGCAGAAGGTAGCCAACCAACTAAGTTGTGATTCCCTACATTTCAATGGTCGGGTGAGCCAGAAAGGCTCCCCGGTGTTTCCTGACTTAGCCAACCATAATTGGTACTTATATCCTACATAATTATAACTAAATATAAACTTATCAGTTTGCGGTCGCCGGAGTTAGCAATTTCACAGTTTTCTCTTCGAAGGATCTTAGACCAAGACAAGAAGGAGGACAAGAGTAGGAAGGTGGGGATAGAGCGTTGATGCAGTCGCGGCAGGCAACGAGATGGTCATGCAGCCCGGCTTCGCGAAATGCTTACACTATATAAAATATAGCGTGCCGCTATGCGTCACAGTTTTGTGTTATTTAATTGTGTATCTATAAGCCCCATGCACTCTCATTTTCTCAGCTAAGCCAGCTGAACTCTAACCCTTTTCAAAAAGTTCCTTACTTGCCAAATGGCTTTCCTTTAAAATATAATTTCCAACAACACAATCTGCCAGTGGCTCAATTCAATTTAGTCCAATGTGAATAAAATACTGGAATATCTAGTTCTATCAATCAATAAGGTAGTACACTTCTACAGTTTCAACCTACTAGAGCCTATCTTCAAATGTGACAAAAACATAATTTAAAAATGTAATTGAAGCTTTTTTAGCTTGAATTCAGCGATTTAGAGGCTATTTCACCATTAAATGAATTTTTATAGTTTATGCTAAGATGCTAGATTAAATACCATAACATTAAAATACATAAACCTAGCTTGTTTTAAATTAAATAAATACATTACTTCATTTTATTTAAAGAATCCATAGTTATTGTGCTGATTAAATGGCTATCAACTGAGTCATCAGGTATAATTGACTACTTCTCTGAGGCTCGTACAAGGCAATGTAATGTATAACAATTGAATCTATTATGTTCCACAGTTTGCCACCCGGGTCACTCGCAGGGTTGTAAACAATAATGGCGTAGGGTCCCGTGTAACCTTTTTAAAATTCTACACAGGTTCACTGAGAAATCCAGAGTACCACCAAAATACCAGGTACCACAGGTACCAAGTTGGAATTTTGCAGTTTTAAGGTTTGCTAAATCTAACACAAAAGGATATAAATTTGGAAAAAAACCTAGTGGGTTAACTTTAAAGTTAATTAATGGGTTAATCTATGAGTTTGAATCAGTCTGGTGGCTGGTTGCAGGCAGCAAAGAGTTATTGCTAGAGCAGCGTGTGCCAGCCAGCTACCTAGCCCTGGAGGACGTAGTTGCACACATCGCAGCAGAACGTCGCGTAGCTGGAGCAGACCCTGTGTTGGACGCTGAGACTTATCGTACGTTCGTGTGGTCAGAAATGCAACATCGCTATCAGAGAACCTTCCGTGATGTGGCCGAACTGCACCAGGCTACATTGTTCCTACATGATAATGGTTAGTCAGAACTGTTACAATCCACCTAAACTAACTGAACAACTACGACTCTCAGAATGTCTCCAATTTGGACTGAAGATGTTTGTGTCACTGGTCGATTGATTGACAATGTAACATCCTTGGCATGTATGTGTGAATGTTTACAGCTAAATGTAGATGTATAAACAAGTGATGGTTATGTATTTGATTACACTTGTGAAATATTATCAGACACATTTCAATTCATATGTGTGTGACTATTGCCCAGGTTAAAATATAGTTCAGACAGTAGATACAGCTGAATCCACCTTTTAGAAAAACTATTTTCACATTTTGGTTATTATTTCATGTATTAAATGCACAACTTTTAGAGTACAGCTGTTTTGAATATTTTTATTTTATTATTTCCATAATGTGTTTCCATAATTTACATATTACAATACATTAGTTTTTTTTTATGTTTTTAGTCTTATTTTTATGTTTAAAAACATATTATTAATTGTATTATATTGTAACTAACAAATTTCAGGAGTTCTCCTGCATTATGATGATGCAACATTGAAGGACCTCTACTTCCTTGACCCCCAGTGGCTGTGTGACATGTTGGCACATGTTGTGACCATCCGGGAAATAAACCCGTTTGCTAGAACTGGTAAGTAGACTATCTAGCAAGCAACTAGGTTTTAAAATAGCAGTTATAAAAAAAGTTAAAATTAATTGAGTTGGAATATTTAGCTCATGCCTTATATATATTTTGGTTTTAATTCATAAATTAGACAAACATTAGAATTTTAACTAGAGAACCCGTGCGGCTCAATGAGCCGCATAGTATGAAACATAACGCCGAAAAAAAAAAAACGTTATGCTTAAAGTCGAGTAATTCCAGTTACATCTTAGAGTTGTTTAAACACTTGTTAGAAACTAATTTTAAATATCTCTATTTGCGTCGTCAAGGTTCACCGACATTATTTCTGCTCTAAGTTTTAACTGATAACTTCTAATGAATTCTAAACTAAGTCTGCTTCCAATTCGAGTTAACATGTTGCAACAAAGTTTGTCCAGCATTGAGAATTGAAGAAAACTTGTGCGTTACTGATAACCTGTGTTAATTAATTTAACTTGGGTTATTTTATTTCTTTTATTTTTGAGTCATCCCCCTAAACCAACGAATTTTCACCGTAGAGAATCCTGAAAAGTGGGGTGATATCAACCATTTTATGTGCTCCATTTTTTACACATAAACTCTGGGTTACCAACTGGGCAGCCATAATCTGCTTAGAATAGGCTAAAGCAGCAACACCATTGAACATTGGTTACGGTAACGTATTTTAACGTGTTGTCTGTCAGTCACAGTATATGCCCTGCATCAGAACTTTCTCACGTTGTTTAGTGGAATTTATCTTAATACCTGTCCCAAAGTTTTGAAAGTATGGATTCATTTATCGAAATAAGTTTGATAACTCTTGTAGCTATAAGATTTTTGGATAGAAATTATTATTTTCTCTTTTTGAGCAGCTTGACCGCAACTACTTGATCGTTGAATACATGAACACTAATTCCTTCACCTATGTTTGGTCTAATATTGCCACTAAAACTTTCAACAGCAATTGAGTTTTTGAAAATTCTTATTTTTGACTTGAAATGTCTGGATTGTGTTGGTGAATTCAGTCAAAATACTTGTATAAGTTTGTCAGAGGAACTGGCAACATATCCTAGAAGTAAACAATCCAATTGCGTTTTTCTCAATTGAAGTAGAGCGAGTAATACAACAGTTTACAATAAAAACATAAGGTCCGCCAAGATTTGGTATAATCTTACTACTTGAACTTACCATAAGCAAGGCATTATTATAGTGTCTACTAAATGTTTTGAAATATCTCGATCTGTCAGTGTCAGAAGTAAACATTTCTTGCATGCATTCATTTTATCTGACATTAGGCAAGTTTACTTTACCACCGTGACAACACTATGTGCTTCGTATATTTTTCACTTCCAAAGTAAATTGCATAGCAGAACTGGCAAATATTATTCATCTCACCAAGTGAATGTGGTGTATCTGGATGGGTATCTGTTAGACCAGGCCTCTCTTTTTCTACTCTCCTCATACGCATAAGATATCTTACTATTAATTGTCTCCACCTCCCGTTTTCAATATTTCTCCTTTGAACTTGAGGCATTTTCTGTTCTTCCAACAAAACTGATTAACTGTTTAACTTGGTCTTAACCTACTGAATATTACAAACATCTATATATAAAGCCAAAAGTACCCATGAACTTTTGAGAAAACTACAAGTCACACCCCCATAAACCATATACTTAAAATGTCCGTCATGACGAGAAACCTTGCACAAAATTATCCATTATTTCATAAGTTGCCCTATAAGGTCATAATTGCTTTCCAAAGGGAACTTTCCATTTACCTAATGTTAAAAATACCTCAGCTTTTATTATTTGTTTTGTTTGTATTCTGCTTTGTTTATTTAATCTTAACTTAACCAATCAATAGTTTTATTAATACTAATGTAGTAAAATGGGGTGGAGCCCGTGGGTAACAGCTAGTTAATATTTACTCACAAAAAGCTAATGAGTTTCTTTTTATAAACAGCTGTTTTTTGTTTTTAAATTTTCTCTATGTATTTCTTATGGGGAAAACCCGACCTTTGAGAGAGTCTCACACCCTTAAGAGTAGGAATTTTTAAATTCTAAAACCTTATTGCAAAACTTCATATTGAGTTAGATCTTTTGACACCTTAAACGTTGAAATTGGTCCACAAATAAGGGAGGAGTTGTGTTAACAAAAAACGGCTTCACGTATTATATAGATAGATTTGGCTTTGTTACAAATCTGTAGGTATAGTACTTCTTTTGAAAATTTTAAATTTTAACAAATACTGTACAAACCAGTCCACACTCTCACATCTGCCTGAGTATGATACATGTTAGGTAACAATGTAGGTTTCTTTTTTTATATAAAAAAGAGTTTTTTCTTGTTATCAGGCATAATGAAGCTGGATGACCTGAAGCATGTGTTCAAGTCCAGCAACCTAGGTCCAGTAGACACCAGGGGCTACATTGTCAACTTGCTCAACAAGTTTGAAGTTGCACTGACGTGGGACAACCGCACACTGCTTATCCCCTCCCTGCTGCCAGCTGAGCAGGACGTCAGCAACCACACGGCCGGGGTCAAAGTCAAGGTCAACGATTGATTTTGTCCAAATAATCAAACTATAGTGAAGTATCATTTCCGAATCAGGAATCCTCTAAATTTCATGAAAATATTCAAATTTAAAATTTGACTATCTTGAATTGAAAATCAAATCACATAGGCTATTTAGACACACCTTTTGTTTGTCTGCGCTTTCATAACCGGTGTGTTTGTTTGAGGCAGGAAACATAATAAAATCTGAGTAAGGATCTCAAACCAACAAAATTTGGTGTTCCTCTCCTCTTTTTGTAAAACAATGCTTGAGTTCTTACATAATCTGTTCCTGTTGACTTATTGTCCGGGTGACTTGTTTGCTATTGTGGTATTTTTACTTTGAAAAATCAGAGAAAACCCATCACTGTAGGACTACCTAATCAGTAATCATGTGTGTCTATGTGTGTGTTTTTATGGCAATTCTTAATTCATGCAACATTCAATGGTGTAGATCACCATAGAAGGTTTCCAAAACAAATTTGTGAAATGTTTAGAATTTGAAGCATTAATTGTACTCAAATTGTATAACATGTACCTAACTGTAGTAGCTGAAGCTCATTATGGCCTATACTGTTTGAGATGTTAGTTATTAAATACTTATCAGATCATGTCTTCTGCAGATCCCAGTAAGGTCCCGGGGATGGGCTGTGCGCAACAAGAAGGTCTCTACGGGCTCAGCCACTGCCACAACCCTGGTCGGAAACTCTTCCTTCTACGCTTCACCCCCTACTCCTGTTCACGGTATGTTTTCATATGGGTTTGATTAAGTTTTTTTAAATCAGTTTTGATCATATGTTGCACCTGTGTATGATCAAGCAAGCTAGGATTCGTCCTCTTTGATAAATTCTTTGTTTGAAGTTCATTTTTGGCGAAGGTGATTTAATCTTATTTGGAGGATTTTTGCAGATAATTTTCATTATAAATAGTTAAACCGAGTGTTCACAACATTCTTATGAGAAAGTACCTAAAACATAACAAGATTATAGAACACAAACCCAGCAAATCTGGAAAATCACCATATAAAAACCACTTAGAGGAATGTAAGTTAGTTAAAATAAGAACCACAAAATCCTGAATAAGCAACTAGTAAAAACAGAAGTTAGGCAAAAACAATAGACAAGCTTGCACAAGATGGTGGCTCTAGCAAGACACGCCCTCAAATAATATTAATCCTCCTATAAGGTGTGCGATTGATGGCTTTTTATGTTAAACATGGTTTGATGTTGCGCCTGTGTATGAGACCGGCTAGTTCGGTTATATATCTCTATTGAAGACATGTTACTTTTTTGCACTGCAAAATATTGGGAGTTTGAAACACTATAAGTTTTGGGGGGTAGTAGTACGTGATAAAACTCAAAACTATTTTGAATGGATCGAGGAACATAGAAAATAATATTAGATAATGATTCCCAAAGTGAATAACGAGAGGAAAGCCTGATTAATTCAAACATGTTTTAATTCTTTCTTTCATTAAAATTTCAACACAATATATTAATTTATTACTCTATGTGTTGTTGTTACAGAGGTACCCTCGGAGCTGGAGTTGACTCACCGCAGCGATCCTGAGGTTTGTGTCACCAGACTGTTGCTTATGTCATACTTCCCATCGGGCTTCTGGTCTCGTCTGATTACTCGCATATTGGCTGACGACTCCATAGTCGACATCATTCGCTCATTCTTCATCATCCCTAAAGAGGTAATAGAGTTTTACTGAATTGTGTTCACCAATAACTTCCCAAGATTTGACCAGTTTTTGTCAGTAATGTACTCTGTTGCGCTAGGTGACGCAGGATGCTCGGTTGGCCCGGTTGCTAGATGTGAAGGCTGAGTGGGTGTTGTGGCAGACAGGGATGGAGCTGCGATACGCAGACTCAGTGTTGTTCCGCATGAAAGAAGTCATTCCTGCACTTCGTAGTGTACCAACAGACTACAAGAAACTCAAGTAGGTCACAATTAGGCGTATGGGCTGCGTGTGCGACAACTATAATTATGTGTATCGTCTGCTGAGGTTTCACTTGTCCTATTATGAGTTACATATGTTCCTACATTTAGTGATCAGTATTGCAACTGAAGATGCAACTGATGTGAACTATTTTTTACTTATTTGAGCGATGATTTGAATTAGAAAAGAAATAATTTAGGTTGCAGACTACACTTGACTTAAAAAACTGTTATTTAACAAAAACTACTGCTCAAATCATATAGAAATTTTAAGGTTATAAAATAATGTAATCCTTGGCTTTTACTTACAGGTTTTGTTTTAAGTTTTTACACAATTTGAAATACTGTATAATTGTTATGATGTTTCTAAAACAATTTCTCGTGAAGATTTTCATCATACTGCAGCATAACGGCTGTTTTCAATTCTGCAATACTGTACTTTTGTTGGGGAGCTGGAGTAGTTAATTTTATCCATTATACATAAATGAATCTAGCAAATACCGATATCAGTGCTGTGCATTTTTATAGCTATAAAAGTCGTCCGCTAGTCACGCCGAAGTAAATAGATCTGATTAACACCTTAATACCATTGTACATTATTATTAACATTTTTGTTTAGTGGGTTTATCATTGTGTTATATTTTACTACAAACTTAGCCTAACCCTTTATCAACATTTATATCAGTTAAAATGTAAAATTAAAATATTATGAATTTATTATTGTGTTGGTGGAGTAATGCATATTACTCTAAATCATAGCATCTAAATGATAGTAACGGCTGTTTGTAAATTATCTGTGTAAAAAGTACTTTTTTTAAGCACTTGTGATTTGTATATTAAGTTATTAATTCACAATAAATGCCATTTTATTATGACAATAAAAAAATAATACAATTTTTATTTTGGCACTCAATCTTCAGACTGTATCTTAGTATTTTTAGAGTCAGCCTTAAGATGGCGCCATAGAGTGTTAACATATATTAGCTCCTAATTACTATTTTGTAGTTTGTAGTTTATTGTCAGTTGAAAATTTACGTAGCCTACGCTGTGTTTTGTGTGCTTATCAACAAAACATCCGCATGAGGAAAATAAAAGGGAAATAAATTTAGTATATATCTGTATGGTGATGTTTTTGGAATAGGGGGGCGGTTATTAATTTCTGCTCCAGGGCGCTCCAAACCTGGCTACCCCACTGAAATATAAGTAGGTTTTTTCAACTACAGTAAATAAATGTTTAAATAAGTGTATCTTTTACAAATTGTGTACGATTCAATTTGTAAAAGATACACTTTCATTATTATCATACTTGCATCAGCGCCTATCATAATATAGTTTACATTATAAGATTTAATCTCCAATTACCTGTATTTAAAGAATGAACATTTCATTAAACTAAATGTGGTAACGATTAATTTTGTTTCTAAAATCAAAGTAAGACATGTTAATATTTTATTTAGCAGATTTAAAAAACAAAATTTTCTCATTTGTGTCCTCTCCCACTGCAAAGTATGGGTACAGCAGCTAGTAGTTTATAAAATAAAAATTTTTATGGTGTCATTACAAAGTCATTGCAGTATATATTAGTTATAATTGTGGCAGGCTGAGGCTGAAGCAGGAGGGGGTGTGGGGAGACGTGGACCTGGTCAACTGTTCTATACTGGAGGTGCTGCTGCCATTGGACACACTGGTGATCAAACGACCAATCACAGATGAGGACCAGGCTATTGGCTACCAGGCTATAGTGTTGGACCCCAGCCCAGAGTGTTCAGCCCAACTACTGGCTGCAGCTGTGGACCACATAGACACCCTACTGGAGGACTGGTACCCAACACTCGGTAAGATGTACACAGTCACTCATTAGTATCAAAACTCAAAACTAGAGCAGCAGTGAAATTCAGCAACATATTTATTTCACAAGAAGAAGTAAGGTTACAATTAGCTACAAATTTGTAGTCTTGTAGGTAAAACCATGTAAATTTGCTAATAACATGATCTGATGTTTCGCCTCGTTGTAAATGGTCATTTTCAGGGCTGTATTAGAAAAACGCTCATTAGCTACGATATTTAGAATCTTTGTTAGTGTTATTTATAACAGCTACCTATTAATAATCTTGTTTTGAAGTTATGATTTAATATTAAGTTTTGTTTTATTTGTTTGGAGAATTGTTCAATACATACTTTTCTGCATACATAAATCATCTAGAGTTCCACTAGTTTTATTACAGTACCAAAAATGTACAGAGTTTTCTGGTTATTAGTTTAACTATTTTTACCACCAATCTTGCTTCCATTTAAGATTGGTCTTTAAAAACATTCTACCTTTCATTTAAATATGTTATATCTTAAGAAAAATTTTGAATTTTCCTTTTTTCTTTGTTATGATCTGCGATTCTCTCTATTGTGTTGTAGGTACAAGGTTTGTCCACACTTCAGAAGGCAAGTTCCTAGTGACTAGGCTAGTGCCTTGTCCGAGGTGCCTTGCCTCAGTCCAAGACCAAGATGTTGACCTGAATAGCAAACCTCAACATTTGCAGCAGCCTCAGCCTCCCCACCTTGCTGAGGTCAGTTAACTCATTATCTCCAGTATCCCCACTTCCCAATCATTTACTTGGCAATAGTGTGGCTAAATGACTGGTTCTAGTATTACAGGTAGTAATATGGTATTTTTAGACAGTAGGATTTTTTACAACAGACTTTTTTAAACGTTTCCTACACATTGGCAAGAAAACAGAAGATCTAACTAATAGCAACCACTCTGGCATTGATGTAAAACTAAAACAAGGGATTTTTTAGCACTAATTAAAATACCCCCGCCGCAACAAACCTGCAGGCTAAGTGAATTTCCATTTGCCTGATTGGATTTACATTAAAATGTCTCCTTAAAAATATCACATTTATTCCCAATTTAAACAGCATTAGTTTAACGAGTACATAGGTTTTATACAACAGGGAGGGTAAGCTCTACATTATGGTTTGGTAGGTAAGAATTTGCTAAATTTTTTTGTTTTTATGGTTAACAATGGGAAAAAACAAAAACCAAAAACCCCATAATACCCCCCATAAACACCCATTCCTGTAGTCCGATCATGCTGGTTCGTGAACATGTTCGAATAAATGTAGGTTTACACATTTATACCAAATTTTATCAAAATCGGATAAATTTTGCTCGATTTATCTTGCTAACGGATATATATATAATATATATGAATTTGAACGGATGGTGTTTTAGGCCTCTAGGGACCTCAAACGAAAAAGTAAATCGGTTCCGGGTCCAGGTCTTACCATGATTACTACGGTAATAGCTTATTCAATTCAATTCAATTCAATTCGTTTATTCACGGCAGAAGCCATTGTACAATAATGCCATTACATACGGGAGATAACAAGCAATAACAAATACTTACTCAAACTCTCAAATATATACTTACTCCCTATATGGGAAATTTGCTAAAAGCGGGTTGCATCAACTCTAAAGACTAAGCTTTACCAATCTAAAGTATTAATTTTTTTCTAAAGAAAGAGATCTCCCTCTTCACTATGAATAATGTTGATTGGATATGCAATGTTGTAGGCACTGCAAGTTGCAGAAGCAGAAGGTCGTCACTCTCGCAGAGTACGCAAGTCTCAGGAGAGCTACACCAGTGATGTAGACAGTGGAGTGGACCCTGACAGCACAGGCTCTAGGTAGGTAATGATAAATAAAACTAAAAACTATCATAGTTGGTTGTTTTAGTTTTAATGGCAGAATTACAGTCGGCATTCCATGAAAATTAATAATCAAGCCTCGCCTAATATCAAAACTTGAACTATTAAAACTATTTACATAATATCATCTTATTATGGAGTCCTTGTCAGACTATGAGAAAAAAATCTGTGATGTTTTAACACGTTGACTGCGCACGCCGACTTCAGTCGGCGTCCGTCGGCGTCGCCAGCGCTCCCAGGTGGCGCGCGCCGACAAAAGTCGGCACCAGACCAACAGAAATATATTGAGTAAGTGTGAGCTTAGCCTCAGACGGAGACGTTATAATCGTTGCCAGCCTGCCAGCTTAGAATGCGAGCTTTACTTTGGTGTAGGTTGGTACTAAAATTTCCCGTAATATCCTGTCTGGCAATGCTTTTGTCCCGGTTTCGGGGATTTTCTCTCTTCAACCCACATTACAAAGACACTGGATACGGATCCGTGCAGTGCTGCTACCTTTGGGTGTTTCAGTGAACTACATCCACTCTCGGGGTAACGCAGCACAGTCACCACTGCTCTTTTGTGATTCGTCAGACTGAAATATTTGAATGCCAATTGCGTTCGCTGATTCGGTTGCGCGCCGGGGCTTCGCCCGCCACTGGGGAGCGCCTGTATTGTCGGCACGCGCAGTCAACTTGTTAAGTTACTTGTGTTACATAATCGTTTATATAACTAAAAAAATTACTTTGCAACATAACTAAATACATTTTATCTACTCTATATTGATTAATAGTGTTGCTGACCGCAAGTTCCTTATTATCTACACAGCAAATGACAACATATTTGTTATTTGTATCCGCAGCCGCAAGACGTCTGTTGAAGGCCACCCTGGACTGGCAGGAGAGACTGTAGAGGACAAGCTGCCGCAGTACTCGTGGATGGTGGAGGAATGTATTCTGGCTGCATATGACAAGTCCTGTGTCAAGTGTCCAACCCATGGAGAGATATCTCTGGCCCACATCGCCCCGGACACTGTAAGTACATCAATACCATTATCATTACTACTCGTAAAGTTTATAAATCGAGATGTGTTGTAAGACATAATTTTTTCTCTTATCAACCCATAAAACCATAAAAGACCATAAAAACCATAAAACCATAAAAGAAGTCTTTAGATTCAGGTTGTACTGTGAATTTAATTGTTAATCTCAACGTTCTTTGAATGTAGAAGAATATTTTTATTTCATCAGGCTACTAAGGCACTCTAATTATGTTGCACATTATTCCTTTCCATCTTGCCTTGTAGGCACCTAAAAGACGTTTCCAGTTCAAATTGACGGTATCCTTAAAATCATCTGTGTCACTGTCAATTCATTGCCAGAGTCTTTGATTATTTTCAGTAGACATAGTCTTTTGCATGTTCATTGTTCTGCCTGTCAGATGTTCCTGGACCTGGGAGAGAGACATCTAATCAGACCCAACAGTCTGGTGAGGGGCAAGTTGCTGGGTCGAGGTGCGTTTGGCTTTGTGTTTAAAGGCACATGTCGCATCCGAGGCTCCAACGACACCATACAGGTGGCCATGAAGATGCTGCAGCCCGTGCCTCCAGGACCCAACGCTAGCCACTCTGCTGTCATAGCTTACAAGGTACTATGATTAAACAATTAAGTACTGAGAATAAAGCTTTCCCCTAAAACACAAACATGAAACAACGATGTAAGTCATAGTATACCAAGTCTTACATTTATATGACTACATCTGTTAACTTAGCATTAAAATTTGAATTAAAACAAATAAAAATACACTCGCCACAGCAAACCTGCAGACTCTTAAGCGAATTTCCATTGGCTGATTAGATTTTAACTCAATTATTTTCTTAATGTTTTTCAGATTTATTCTCTATTTAAATAACATTAAGTTTAATGAGTACTTAGGTTTGCTGCTACAGGGAATAAAATACAGTTTTTTTGTGAAATGTAGATAGCTTAGTAGGTATCCATGTAATAAATAGTTTTGTCAAATTGTATTAAATTTTATTCATAAATAAGCAGACTACAAGAGTTTTCCTATTCTTTGTAAGAATAACATGGGTTTTAAAATTTTACTCTGTAGTCATTTAGCATACAAAAGCGGTTCTATTTGTTTTTTTAGCTCCACTTAATTAACGGTTCAGAAAGAAACAAAAATGGGAAAAACACATTTTCATTTTTTACTCTACAAAACCCCTCATAAAACTCCGTTCCTATAGCCCGATGAAGCTGGTTCACAAAATCGTTTGAGTACATGTTTTTAGCGAATTTCCCACTCTAGGGAATAAGCTATTACGGTAAGTCTCATAATACCCAGCCTTTTTTTGTTTTGAGGTCCCAAGAAGCCAAATAAATCATCCATTCAAATTCATATACATAATTTTATATTATCAGAGTGTTTCTCTCACTTACAGGGAGCGCAGGGCAAGTGGGACCGAGACCCTCTGCAGTACGCCAGCAAGGCCTACTGTACGGCACGTCAGGAGCTGAACATCCTATTGACCTTGCGCCATCCCCACATAGTGCCACTGGTGGGAGTGTGTACACGACCTCTGGCTCTGGTACTGGACCTGGCACCCCTCGGGGCTTTGGACATAACACTGCGGCACTACAGACGGAGTGGAGCTAAGCTGCCTACTTACACACTGCAAGCTGTTATACTGCAGGTACTCTAGCTACTGCACACTACTACTTTCAGTACATTGTTATAGATTAAATGTGACTATGATATGTAACACAATGTTAAAATAAACATTCCTGCTTTCAAACAGAATCTAATTTAGACAATAAAGGTTTCCGTGTTTTTACCTGTTTGTCTTAGTTGCACATCCATTAAAGAGAAAGAGAGATAGGTTTTCTGACAGATTACTAATAATTACCAATACAAGGGCTCTTCCAAGGCCACACTACAAAAACAGGCAGTAATGCTCATCAAGCATGACGTCACGATAGAAGACGGCAATGACGTAGGTATTTATTTATTTATTTTCCGAGGAAAGATTAAAACAAGCAGCTGATCACAAACGGCAAACATTACGTCGTTGCCCTCTTCTATCGTGACGTCATGCTTGACGAGCATTACGGCCTGTTTTTTTAGTGTGGCCTTGGCTCTTCCTTTCCCCTTAAATAGGCCTGGTTCCTAATCTAATGAATTTAAGACTCTTATACAACTAGTTTTATCTCGTGTAGAATACGAGGCATTTTTTTTAGTACGTACAGTTTTTAAATTTCTCCGTTCCAGCGCTTCGATTGGCATTTTGGACATTTGTGCTGTGTGCGTGAATCTATTGGAAAGCCTGCGCCGGAAATTCGGCAACAATCGGCTAGTTTACATCTGGTTTTGAGCATTTAAAATGGTGCCGCCAATTGAGACTGCCGCCGACTGTGAAGTGCACGCTGTAATTCGATTTTTAAGAGATAAAGGTGTGAAAGCCATTGAAATTCATTGACAGATTAGTGAAGTGTATGGCGAGAACATTATTAGTGACGTGATGGTACGAAAGTTGGTAAGGGATTAAAGACGGCCCCACCAACGTTCATGATGAGCAACACACTGGGTGGCCATCTGTCATTACTGAATTGGTGCGTAAAGTTGATGAAAAAGTGAGAGAGAATAGACGGATTACGATCTCATCATTATATGATGAGTTTCCTTTACTCATAATGTTGTCGCCATACATTTCACTAATCTGTCAATGAATTCCAATGGCTTTCACACCTTTAGCATTTAAAAATCTAATTACAGCATGCACTTCACAGTCGGCAGCAGTCTCAATTGGCGGCACCATTTTACATGCTCAAAACCGGATGTAAACACAGCCGATTGTTGCCGAATTTCCGGCGCAGGATTTCCAATAGATGCACGTACACAGCGCAAATGTCCAAAATGCCAATCGCAGCGCTAGAACAGAGAAATTTAAAAACCGTACTTACTTAAAAAACATGCCTCGTATTGTACACAAGATAAAACTAGTTTTATAAGAGTCTTAAATTCATTAGATTAGGAACGCATTTGAATTGACCCTGAATATACTTTGAATGACTGACAAAGTGTTTATTGGATAAAATGGCTACTGTATTATCTGAAAGTCTGTACAGTAGGTCTAGGTAAAGTTTAATATGCTTAAAACACTTGTTACAGACGGCGAAGGCAATAGAGTATCTTCATCAGCAGCATATCATCTACAGAGACCTGAAGAGTGAGAATGTGTTGGTGTGGTCTATTCCTCCTCCCTTCCACGATCACATGGAGGTGCCTGTACACATCAAGCTGGCAGACTATGGTATCAGCCGACTGACCTTACCTTCTGGCACCAAAGGGTTTGGAGGGACAGAGGGATTCATGGCTCCGGAAATCATGAGATATAATGGTGAAGAAGAATACACAGAAAAGGTAAATATTGGTTATATAGATCTATCCATACCATAACTAATTGATACCTTTTACAACTTTCATATAGGACAAATATGCACAATCTTGGTAGAATATGTAGAATTGGTAGAATCATTGTGTAAAATAGATAGGTTAGTAATAGGTACATTTTTATGAGTTTTTTACGTGTGTTATTGGATGTGGAACACCACAGTTCTGTTAAAAACAAAATATTTCAGAGTAGAATCTATGGCAGAAGATTTTTACCTTTGTCACAATCAATCTCACAGTATATAATAGAGGAGAATATTTCTACACAATGTGTACACTGTGCAAGCGCAAGGTAAATATTTTTGTAATTATTCTTATCTCAATCTACTCTGTCTGCAGGTGGACTGTTTCTCCTTTGGCATGTTCATATACGAGCTGCTCACACTTCATCAACCGTTTGAGAGCCATGAGTCTGTCAAGGAGTGTATCCTGGAAGGTGGACGACCTCCTCTCACTCACAGGGTCAGCACCACAAACGTTACTGATCCACATATTTTTAACAATTAAATTTCACCTGTGCAATTTTAAACATAAAAAAAAGTTCATCCTTTTAAAACTGAGTTACCAATTCACTAACCGATCTATTTAACATGTTTTAAGTAAATCAAATCAAATCTCTTTATTGTTTTCAGCTCTAGAAAAGCAATTGACATTGTCAAATGGCATCTTATCGTTAAAGCATTAAACATAGACCTGGATAAATAACAGGAACCTTGATATTAAATTATTTAAAAAATTTGTCTAAAACCTCCAAGGACAAGAACTTATCTACAGACAGAGTAAAAACATTTTAATTTTAACCATGAATCAAGGATGGTTTTTAATTTGTCATAGGAATTGTTACCGGTACTGCAGAAGGGGACAATTTATTAAAAGATTTCATACTAAGATATTTGTAGCTATTGTGTGTAAGTGTAAGTCTTGTAAGTGGTAAATTGAGATGATGGCTATTTATTGTGTAATGTGCATGTATGTCAGATCGGTGCTATACTGGTCTATATTCTCTTTTACGTATAATAAGATATTTCAAATGTATAAAGATGGAAGGGTTAGGATTTTTAAGGCCTTAAAATCTACTCTGCAATCGTCCCTGGGCTTTGTTCCTCTAATGCACCTAACTGCTTTCCTTTGCCATTTGAAAACGGTTTTGGCTCCTACAGAGTTACAGGTCCTAGCCTAAGAGAACATCATTATTGTAGGTTAGAATGTAAAAATGCATAATAACAATTTAGAATAATTTGTTCACTTACATTGTCCATTAATCTTTTAAACAAAAATACAGTTCTAGCCAATTATAACTGTAGCTAAAATACAGTAAATAGGGAACTGCTTGGAAGGAAATTTTCCCTAAAAACTAAATCTTGCATCCAATTGGTAATTAATAATTTTAATGTTGCAGGAAACCTTGTACCCAACCTACATGCTGGACCTAATGGTGCTGTGCTGGTGTCAGCAACCACGAGATCGACCTTCAGCCAGCCAGATAGTGTCTATCGCCTCAGCCCCAGAGTTCACCCATCTCCATGACATTGTGTCACTAGACCATTCTGCTCCTGTAACTGCCACTGTGGCCGCCCCACTTCTACACACTGGTATAGTGGTACTGTTGTTTAGTAATGGTTTAAATAAAGGTCTGATATTTTCAGATCGGGTCAGACCAGCGGTTTGGGTTAAGCCGAGCCAACCTTTTATTTTCGCAATGGCAGAAAGAGACGTGTTCTCAAATACTGACAAATTTTGATTGTGACAGTTCAACATGACAGCGACCACAGGTTATGTTAACAATTTTGTCACAATCATGGGAGACGGTGATGATTTTACCTCGACCACTGAAGATGCTCTCAATTTTGTCATGAAAGGGAAAGATGTTCATAATTTCACCATGTCTGCAGAAGATTTTTGATTTTATTATGACCTCAATTTTTGAGCAGCCCGAGACCCCATAAGTTGTTTATTCAACCTCACTCGAAGATAAAAATTCTGGCCCACAGACCCATAGTTTGAAATAATTTTTTTTTTTTTTTTTAGGTATGTAATTTGTAATGACTCAAAAACAATCATCAACCTAAACCTAAATTTGTTGATTGGTAGTAAAACAACAACACAGTGTCAATATATTTTAATATTTAAAAAAGTGCAGCTACAAGGATCTGCAAATTTACAAAATCTGTAAGCAATGGCAAAGTAATTGTTATCACTCTTTTTTACTGATTGAAAGTTTTACTGGAATTCCGGGAGCTAAGAGCAATAAAGTGCTCATCATAGGTGATAGTCTACTTAATGTTATACTGTTACAGAGGAGGGAGGTGTCGGAGGAGAGCTGTGGCTAGCCTGTGGCAACTCTCGTACAGACCAGTTGGTTGTCAGTGGCCACACTTGTGTACAGTACTCTACACTGTCCCTTCCTGAATGCCCGACTGCTGCTTGTCTCGTAGACAACTGTGTGTGGCTTGGCGACAATGCTGGGACTATTCATGTCTTTAGGTATGATTTAGGCATACTTCAAATAATTTACTTGAGGTGAATCTCGGGTTAGAATAGGACCACAGTCTTCCCCGGCATATGGTAAGAGGCGACTATCAGGGGTTGGGAGATCCTTATCTTTCGTTGAGGCCAAGTTCCCTTCGTATCTATGGCTTGGTTCTCAAAATCTTTTGTCTTTCCTTTTATTTTCCTACTTTCAACCCCATTTCAATATTTATTATGTATTCCTCCTTTTTCACTGGTGGGCACAATTAAACCCTGGGAATGTTCTTATAGTGCAGAGTGGCTCGCGCTTCTGATGGAATTCTTTGGCACGTCGTCAGGAACCAGCCTCTTTGGGCTCTAGTCACAGAGTGCAGCATGTGTTCAGAAGTCCAGCTCTGCCGCGGGCAATCCCTGATGTGATAGGATTTCAGATACTAGGCCAACAGAGGTCAGGCTGTGAGGAATCAGGGTAAGGGCTTGGTCCCGAAGGGTGTATCCGTTCCCAGTTATCCCAGACAGTCCCATGCAGGACAATGCTCTGGCTCAAGTTTTAATGGAATTGTAAATTTTAGGAAGCATATTCTAGCCCTTTTTCCCAGCTCACTTGCTGCATCCAATGTGTGATTTTTGAAGGGTGAACGACGTCCTACTCTTCAGTTTGGAGCAGTTGGAGACCGCTGTTTTATCACTGAAAAGGCTTCTAAATCTGAGGGGGTAGCTGTGGTTTTGCATGTATGTTGGTATCTTATGTTATGTCACACACAGACTGATGAAACACGGTTTTATGGCTCATGCCAACGGCTTACTTTTTCAGAGGATATTTTCTAGCAATATCTGGTTAAGGGGTCTCAATCATGCATCACTCTCTGGCAACTTCATCGTTTAACATTTGTGTTTGGTCTTTGCCCTACCTGATACATGAATGTTTGTTACTTGTGCAGGGCGGGAGACTGCAGCCATGTGTTTAGCTACACTCTGGACCCTGCGGACACAGTTAGGGTGTGTTCTCTGCTCTACCTTAGCAATCAGGTGAGATCTCTTGTATTGTACAGTACTGTCCATAATGCAGATGTTACTTGTTCTCTAATATCTCTTTGTAAGCTCAGTTTTTCCGCTTCCTTGAAATAGTGTACAATTATAAGAAGAAATCTTTTACTATTCTCCAACATTGTTTTTGTTTTATTTTATTAGGTTGGTGAAATGAAGCTTTAGTTCGTCAATCGAAGTTGATAATATTCTTAATTTTGTCAATAAATTACCAACTTTGTACTCTAAACTATCAATTGTCAATTGCTGTCCGAGCCTTAAATTAACTATGATATTAGACATAAGTAGTCACTTGATCTAACCAGAGCTCAAGTCACTAGCCTAATTTATGTAGAAAGCTCCAGATCAGAAATGGCTGTGGAGAAAGGTGATTTAAGAATTGGTATATATGGAACAGGTTGGAGACAAATTAACAACAATTTGGAACAACTTAATTAGGTTAAATCACTTAGCTGTAAATGACATGCAGGGCAACACTAAACTGTTTAGGTAATAATACTAATAGATTAAACAAGTTGTAGAATTAAAAACCCAAAATGCAATATAGACCTACCAAAGTAGCATCAGTTGAGAGCCGTTTAACAGGTATCAAATTAACAGAGATTATTAGTTAAACCGTGATATTGAATCATTTTATTTGTATTTATAATATTTAAAAAAAAATACTTAACATTACTGGGCTTCCTAATTCCCTTTAGATTAAACTCGGTCGGGCGGCAGTAATAAAGGATCGGCCGTTGTTTCGCTGATCAATAATTGGGCTGATCAATACATGGTGCCTCTATCCAATGCACCATATATAGGCACAATGGTACAAATGTCTAACCATACACTATGTTTGTCAGGCTCGTGTAGCAGTCGGGCTGAGCAATGGCCGTGTGTTCTTGGTCTGCAGTGACTCATCTCCCCCCTCCCACACCTCAGCTGAAGGCAGCTTTGTCATGACTGAGCTAGGTAGCAGCACTGTGCTCCACGCCATCACTGCTGTGTACTGCAGTGACGATGGAAGGTGCTTATATTAAAAAGAAATATTCAGTTGTGCTTAGATATTTTCTTGTGATTTAAATTCATTATTCTTATTAACCCTTTCAGGTCAAATTTTTTTTCCTTCTTTCGGCAAGTATAGATTGCCATCTGAGCAGTCCAAAACATGGTGTGCGGCGACCACTTAATATGAAAACAAATCCAAGATTATAGCCTAAAATTGTTACAAATAAATTTACAAAAACCCGTTACAAAATAATTCTACCATAAACCCTATTATACTTTAAGAAGGAAGGTTAAGATTCAACTACTCTAACTCATTCATTCCGGTATGTTTTTTTTTCGTGATGGAATTATCATTATTATCCTTGGTTTGTCGTTTACTCATTACTAAATTATACACAATTACTAAAAAAAGTGGTATATTTCGATTTTTTATCAAAAACCATCCTCAGCCTCTGGTAACAACATATTAGGTAAATAAACAATGATTTATAATGTTTGTTTATAAATTAACATATGTTTGAATTATTTTAAAACCAGGCTAACTCACTAAGCAGAGTTCCAAGGAGGTGATAGCACTCAAAAAGTAAAAAAAAAAACAACACGGTTTAGGGAATTTTTAGCATTCTTTCAACATCCAGGATTGTTTTTATGGAAATGAGAGTCAAATCATTCCTTAAGAGTTTGCTGAACATGTTGTTAGGATTGTTAGGATACAGGGCGAGGCAATGAGGAGCATCCCAATTTTCTTTTACTGTCACATGATAGGAAGTGCAACAATGAATGAACAGCTGTGCTAATAATCTCAATTAAACTATTCCACTTTAGTTAACATGGTGCTAATGGGTTGTTAAAACTTTGATTTTGCTGTTGAAACCTTAAGAATAGTAATTCTTTTGCAAACACTCAGAAGTTGTTTGGACCACATTTCATCGCTGGTTACATGGCACTGTTTCAGATCAGAAAATGATAGGGAACTGGGTTAACGTTTTAAAAATAACAGCCTAAATTGTAAAAATAATCGGTGGAATCTGCCAAGCCCTTCATACACCTGTAAATGTGGAAGAAAGAGTGCAAATTGCAGTAACTCAAAAGTCCAAAGAGGTTTGCCAGGAACTAGGAAGCCTCTGTTGTTGGAAGCTTACCATTGGGTCTTTTCTTTCTTTGGGTTTTGGGTTTTCTTTAAGGTTTTTCAAAGTCGCCCCAAAGATTTGCTTGACCTAAGCTGAGGATTTTTCAGGAAACTTAAGCGATTCCTGAAGAAATCCTGGGGCAAGTATTCGATGGAATTTTCAAGTGGCTAAACTAACGTAAAATAGGATAAGGACTCACTTAACAAACCAAGAAATGGGAAAATGTCCCGATTGAGTTAAAATGGCATAAGATAAGCTATGTTTTGATGTGCTATTTATATGTATAGGGTAGGCTAAATTGTATTAAATTCATACTATTAAAAAATTGTGGCACTCTCATTGCCTCGCCCTACATGCATGGAAGAAATTTTGTAAAATCACTATTCCCACCTTTTAAGAAAAGCATTACAGTTGAACCTCGTTTGTACGAACCTCGATAAAACGAATTCCTCGATAAGACGAATTTTTTAAATCCCCTTGACACTTTCATATAGGTCAATGCTAAAAACACCTCTATACAACGTTGTAATTAAGTTAAAAACCTCCATAAGACGAATTTGTTTGTGACATGGGCTAGGACTGATTAACCTCTATACAACGAATATTCTTAGCACAAAACCTCTACAAGACTAACGTGACCTCTATAAGACAAATTTATCATAATCTTAACCTCCATAGTACGTAGTTTTCAAAACAAACAGAAGCTTGTCTCAACATGAAACCCCCACCGATCCCTCCTCCTTCCTCAGTCATTGTTTGGAGAAACCTTGGAGCGAGGAGAAACCTCTATAAGAAGAATAACAGCAGCATTAAACCTCGATAAAACGACCCTCTTTATTAAGAATACCTCTATAGTACGATTTTTTCCCGTACCTCTTGAAATTCGTCTTATAGAGGTTCAACTGTACCATAGACAATCCTAACTACACAGAAGGTCAGATTCTGTTGTAGATCTATTTCCTTCGATTACATCCTAGGACACTTAGGCTCTAGCCCAAAATTGGGACCTAGTTCTAGAGAACCAGTATTATTACATGGGTGATTAACGGGATTTGAACTTTGGACCTCGGAGACTAAAGCCCGCTCACTTTTTCTGCTACAGTAGTTTTATTTGTGACAGTGAGTGTGAGTTGTGGTGTGGGGAGAGCCACGGAGCATTGTCTATCTACGCCATGAAGGACAACGTGGTGACAGGACATGAGTTGCTGAACCACTATGAGCCAGTCATCGCCAACGTGGACGTGCTACAGGTGGTGTCATCTCACGCTCCTGTCCACTACAGGGACTGGCCAGCCTCCGTGTGGACCTACGTCTACCCTGGTATGTTATTGTCCCTGTTGCTGCTAATAATGCTACGAATTAAAATTATTAATACACAAAAATATGTCTTGTGGTTATTTTTATTTGCTGTTTTAGCTATAACAGTGTTATCTTTTAGCAATATACTGTTCTTGGCTTTAAGAGATTGTTTTGTAAAAAATTTCTTTTAAGAGAATTAGGCTCATATTTAGAATGTTGCGTTAGTACTTTTTAGAATCTTAATTTTCAAACTGAACCAAAAGCTTGTCTTTCTGGGATATTATTGTGATCGCTGAAAGCGTCTGCAAAGGTTACACAATGGGAAAGTCATGATTTTATCTCGATGGCAGGAGACTAAACATAATGTTCCCACGATCGGGGGGGGGGGGGGGGGGGGGGATGTTCATGATCTTGATTACTGATATAATTAATAATTATGATTATCATGGAAAGAAAGATGACATTTTTAAATGCATGTCACACCTAATGTATTCTTATTCTTATTTCCATTCTACTGTTAACAGTATCAAACATGTTTAAGAATCTACATACAGTAGACTCCCTCTTATTAGGAGAGCATTGTATTTAGACACGCGATCACTGGTCCCAAATCTTTCCCACGAGAACAGTCGTTTCAGTACCGCCCACTTCCTGCCAATCTAGTCCGGTTAAACCGATGTCATTTCCGCCGAGTTTAGTCCGGTTAAAAGGCGTCTGGATAAGAGGGAGTCTACTGTAAGCTAATTTAAATCTACAAAAATTAAATAATGAGGTTTGATTTTGATTTTTTCTCAAGTTTTTAATAATTATCAACCAAATAACTTCTTGATCAGCATTGTACGTGTTATTAAATTTTCAGAAAGTAAATAAAGAAACGTCTTATAACACTTAAAACATATATTTACGCTTATACTGTTACTCACAGAACGGTAAATATACAAAAAAGATGGTAAGTGGTGATCGATTTCGATTGGACACTCCAATCATCATCAGACCCCATAAGCGAACACTTACCATCTTTTTTGTATATTTACCGTCTTGTGAGTAACAGTATAAGTGTAAATATATGTTTTAAGTGTTAAGACGTTTATTTTATTTACTTTCCGTAATTATCATCCATCAAAACTCTCTAGGTGTTGTTAAAGGTATAGGCACTGCCACTTCATTTTGATCAGTCCGAGTCAATCAGTATAAGGGTATTGTGTTGTGTTTCAGGGTGTGTTGTTTACCAATGGGACCCTGCAACCAGAGCTATAGTTAACAAGCTGGACTGTTCCAAGCTGGTGCCGTGTTCTGAGAGCCTCAAGTATAAGGGTATTGTGTTGTGTTTCAGGGTGTGTTGTTTACCAATGGGACCCTGCAACCAGAGCTATAGTTAACAAGCTGGACTGTTCCAAGCTGGTGCCGTGTTCTGAGAGCTTCAAGTATAAGGGTATTATGTTGTGTTTCAGGGTGTGTTGTTTACCAATGGGACCCTGCAACCAGAGCTATAGTTAACAAGCTGGACTGTTCCAAGCTGGTGCCGTGTTCTGAGAGCCTCAAGTATAAGGGTATTATGTTGTGTTTCAGGGTGTGTTGTTTACCAATGGGACCCTGCAACCAGAGCTATAGTTAACAAGCTGGACTGTTCCAAGCTGGTGCCGTGTTCTGAGAGCCTCAAGTCTATCAGTATAGAAGAGCATCTCAGTCCAGGCCGCTGTCAGGTTTGATCTCACTTTCATACAATAATATCCTTAAAAAAATCATGTTTTTCCATCATTCAATCAACCTCATGATTGTTCGATGTTTCTTGTCTTAATACAATGATCAACAAAGCCAAAATGAATTTTGTTAAATCGTTAAATGCTTCAACTCAACAAAACTGTTGAGGCTACAAAGCTTTTTATGGTACCCTTACTCTTGCTTGAGGGACTGATATAGGCCTAGTAATGATTTTACAATTTGTCTTGACAATACTTTTCATAAGTAAACTTACTGGTGTTTTGTAATCAATCATAGTTTGAGTGTGGAAATCTATCATCATCAGTATGAAACAATGTTTAATGGTTATTAAGTGATGTTAATGCTCTATGAAGCTTGATAATCCGTGACAATAAAGGCCTTATCTAATGTAATCTCATACTAAGCCCAAAAATAACACTCTCAACTGGTTTGCTTGTGGTAATCCACTTGAAACCAGTTGTTTTGTTCTCATGATCTGTTCAGCACTTGAAAGTCACCAGTTTTTTTGATAAGTAAAATTTTACACCACCAATTTTTTATAACTTTTTACCAATTTTTTTTTATCATTACAAATACAACCAACTAGTAAAGCTTCTCTTCTACTTACCCCAAAATTAAACTTAAACCTTATCAATCAACACAAAACAAATTACAAATGTCTAAAATTTTATTTGTATCATGTTGTCCATTTTTGTTCTAGAACCGTATTAAAAGTGTATGATACCAGTCCTACACGTAAACATTTTCTGCCAGAATATGACTTCATCAGTATTGTCTTATCTGTGGAACCCACTCAATCAAATAAGGAGAATATGGCAATTCATCATTGTTATGTTTAAGACTGTCATACACTCACCTCTCCCCGAGCCAGCACAGGCAGCAACAATACACATTAAGTCACTGTATCACTGTGTGTTTGTCAGGTGACCAGTCTGTGTGTGCTGGACTCCGAGGTTTACATCGGCACAACCTGGGGATGTATCGTGGTGGCAGAGCAAGCGACCATGCGACCAATCACAGTGTTCCGGCCCTTCCAGGAGGAGGTGTCGGCCATCTTGGCTTTACAGCCTCCATCAGGGGGTGAGACTGTCCTAGTCACCGTGGGTAGAGGCTACCGCAGTCTCATCAAGAGATACAAGGATGTGACGGGCACCTCCACAGTCAACACACAGGCTGCTACGTACGCCTTGTTGTGGGCCACTCGCAACTGGGCTGCAGTCTAGTCTGTCAATCCTTCCTAAAGTACGGCCTAAAGTTACTAATACATAAGACGTTTGTAGTGAGAATATTCTATAACCAATTAATATTAGTTTTATTTTAGATTTTTAAAATATGACGAGCGTAATCTTTGCTTCTTTTGAGATCTCGAAGCAAAACTACTGAATGCTTGTATTTATATGTATTTACAATGACTAGAGGTAACAATGAGTTTCACTGCTAGTTGGAGAATGGTAACGATAATTTAATATGTAACCAGGTAGTGAAGATGTATTTTTACATTTAACCCTTTGGAGACCAACCCTATAGTATATGACGCGCTGCTTAGGACCGGGGTACTTTTAACAGTTTCTGCAATGTTATAAAAAAAATACTATAAGTTTTGAATAGCACCTCTCTATCAAATTTTTTGCATGCTGTTCTAGATATAAAAAAAAGTTAAATAATCGTTTGTTTAAACTGCCGATATATCGGAAGTTCATCGTTAATAGCAAAAACACCAACTTCCGAAAAATCGGGAGGTTGGTCTCTCAAGGGTTAAAATAGGTTAAGTTATGCATTCAATTATTTTTTTTTTCATTTCAACAAAATTATATTTTAAAAGTCATTTAAGCCATTCTCAAAAAAATTAAGCTATATTTTTACTGTGACAAAACTTAACATAGGAAAATGCAAACTATTATTTTTTTTTATTTAGTTTACTCCTTAAAACTTAGAAAAATCAATTTGATTAATAATTTTTTATTGTGTGAATATGTCAGTCTAATACTCATCAAATAATATTAATAATTGACAGTAATAATTGTTTGTTTTTTTCTACTGTGAGTTAAAAGAGTACTACGCTCACTTGTCCATTCCCCCCGAGAGCTAACTAGGAAATGTGATATTTATACTTTCTTAGCTTTATTTTGGAATATCATATTTTCATGTCCAAATATAATAAGAGTTAGTAATTTAGTTTCTATCTATACTACAAAAGTCCCTCCTATGCTACTTACTGTGTCTCTAAGTCAAATTACCATCCATTTGTGAACAAATTATGATTATTATGATTTAAGTTAAAAGACGTTCCAAACGAATCAGTCATTCAATGTGTTTGTTATTTTTTTTTTTGTTTTTTTTTTAATCAACAGTCAATAATTTCATTTCTTACATTAAAATGTGAAAATGAAAAATGTAAACCTCTGTTTTCAAAAGTATTTTAATACTTTAATACTTTACTTTGAAATGGCGATCATACGAATGTTTTTATTTTAAACAAAGTATGAATGGAGATGAGTATAGGATGAGTGGCGCGATCTTGTAGTGTTGTTAGTGACTTTGGCCGACATATCCCTTAGACACCGGAACTAATAATAAATTACTTTTGACATCAAGTAAAGTCCATCGTATAAACAAGAATATTATTTTATGTGTGGATGGTAATCTAACCTTGCTTTAAAAGACTTTGCCCTCTATCATAGTCTACTTTTTATCAAAGTTTAGAACAACATTAGAATAGTCACTTCACTCCACTATAGTTATTGATTTCTTAAGTACATTTTAAAAATGTAAAGTTTAAGTTCATTCATTTTAATGCAGTCATGACTGATATTAAATTATATATAATGTGAAAATATTACTATGAAATATGTTTTTTTTATTATTCAAGATGTGTATTTTTTCAGTGTTCTGAACAATAGTAGTGTTTCAAACTTTTTAATGTCTTAAAATTCTCTTGTATCTCTTTTAGTTTTATTCTTGTATCTGTATTATTTTTTTTAATTTTATTTGATAGAAATTATTTTTGTATATTTGTTTGGGTAATTTATAGGTTATTATAATCTAGTTACACCAACTAGAATAGCTTTACAGTATGTGACATATGCCATATGCATGTTTGGTGACATTGTAGTTTTGTTGTGAAATGTATAGTTTTTGATGGATTTTGCTCTCGCTGCTGATCTATTACACACAGTATGATAGATATTGTAATCAGCTAGCAAACACCAGCCTATTGTGCATTGTGTGTATGTCACTTACTGTTATTAGCAAGCTTGGTATGAAGCACAATGTATTCACAACTGCTAGTCATTAGAACTTAGGGTTTTGGTTGTTTTTACTTTTTTAGATTAACTGTTTATAGTCAAGTAAACATTTTTAGGGCCTAATACAACTAGTCTCTTCGTTAAGTAAAATAATTGTATGTTAAAACTTCAGTTATTCTTTTCCTTAATAATTGAATTGAAGACAGATCTGTACAAAATACTGAAACCAAAGTGTCAAAATGTGTTTCAAAGATATAAAAGTTTTATCTCATCAGTTTTATGGTTGAAAACAATACATTTAAATCACAACAATCCAAGTATTTGATCAAATAATTTCTAGTTAAAGTCTAATACAAAAATGTACTTTTATGTAACTTGTATTTTTTTTACAAAAGTACCGGTACTATAAAATATTTTTTTAATGTTATATCATGTGAAACAGTTGAACCTTTCAGTTATAAACAACAACAAAGGGTATTTTTTTAAAATACTTAATATCTTTTAATGATTTCACCTGTAAATTGAGTCTGAATTGAATTGTATACCGTACTTTTATTTCTATTGGGTTTATAATGTGAAATTGAAATGGCTTTAACAATAAACAATTAAATGATTGGTTCTTGATCAGAAGCATTCCTTAATGAAAACATTTGACTCTGGGCTTAGTTTTGTTCCAGGAAAGTCTCTAGGCCAGGATTTTGAATTTTAGAATAAGGAGGAGCAGCTAGCTTGTCTAGAAGAAGTGTATGTAGGCTACAGGACACACAGAAGAGACACTCAATACACAATTTTTCGTCCCCTGGAGGGCTTAGTCAAGTGTAGAAAAAGTGATTAAGTTTACAAAATGGGTACCTATGTCTTTGTGTTCTATGGTCTACCTACACTTCTTCTAGGTAAGCTAGCTGTTTTCCTGCTTATTCTGCAATGACACTGGGTTTATTTTCTAGTAGTCTTGCATGATTCATTTCTATTTTAACTTAGGAGAATCTTCTTAAAAAATGAAATAACAGTTTTAACTGTATTAATTCGTTTATGTTTGTCCGGACTACAAGATACAGAATGTGTAAGTGTTGATATTTATATAAGTAATTAAGTATGTTAGCTAAGCTATTTATCTGTTGATATATATGAATATCTTTATTTTGTAATAAAGAGAAGTTTGAATGATCAATCAACTATGTCAATGTTAAGAGCATTGGTCTTGAAAAGTTGTCTATATCTGTGAACTCTTGTTAACGAATGCATTTCCTGAATGTCCGACTTAGACATAGCTTACAGCACTTTTTGTCAGTGGAATTAATAAAGTACCGTGAATGGCAAATGTCAATGGCTATAATATTCCATTGCCTTTTAAAAATTAGTTATAATATAGCCTATATTTCTTATTTGCTTTCAAAATATTTCATAAGATATGGTTATTTCTGAGATAGTGTAATAATTTTCGTATAGAACTAATATTTAAATCGGTGAAAGTTCACCACCGGATTTTATAGGTTGATGAAACCAAACTGATAGCATTCAAAATAAGCCGTCCATAATATTTTAATATTAATGCAAAGCTGTTGGCTCACAAGTATTATATTTATGAACATTATTCTCTGTAAAAACCAAGATACATACTAAACTTTAATTATCCCCTGCCTGCTGATTTTATTTATTATCCTGATATTTTATATTTTGCCCAAATCAAAAGTAACTTTTAACATCTTTAATATATACATTTGATCTCTGGAATGTATTTGATTCATTTAGTGGAACACAATTAGAAAATGTGATTAGTTTTTCTCTGTAGTATATTTAATATTTTACATTTAATTGTAATCGTTAAGGTTGTGTAATTCATTTACATTTTTAACCAAATTTTACCATTGTACTTAAAAGAATAATCATTTCATAAATCTGATAAAGTTAACTTAATGAAACTTGAAAAAATAATTAAAACTTAGCATAAAATTTTGCTACTTTTTGAAAATAACTAATCAATACATTTGTCATTCATGTTTTTATCACTTAAAAATGACTGTGTCTGCAACTTCCACTAACATTGTATTGTATTGTAAGATACCTTGTCTTGTATTGTATAGGTATTGTATTGTAAAATACCTCGTCTTTCAGTATCAATCTCATGTGTCAAATTACGCCGTTCACATACCTTAACATGAAGACAAGTTATCAATAAACAGTTAAACAAACCTTCTTTAGGTTTTATTTTTCCTCCCTAGTTGATTTTACACTCATTTGAATGTGTGATTGTAAAAAAATACCAAGAAGATGGTTTGACTGCGGCGAAGAACATGGCAGTTTTGTGCTCTTAAAAATGTGTTTTCTTCTTTGTGGTTGCCATTTTAAAAAACATGCAAGCAACATAACAGCATAAAATAAAAAAAAAATAAAAAAACATAGCATGAAACATAACAAGCCAAGAACAACTTAAAAAGCCTTGATTGACAAAGACACAGCTTAACCATCTTAATTTTCAATACCGGTACATATCTTTACAGGGTTGCATTCATCAGGTGTTACGATCAAGGGATTTAGAAGTTGATTCTATTTAGTTTTGTCCCATTAAAAACTTAAAACGGCGATTTAAAAAACAACCAGAATAAATTAAGGGAACATATAATTTTTATAAAAGGGCGAATTAGGGATGAAAATTAATACCATTTTCGGTTGGTTACCAACATTTGTAGATAGGATGAAGGGTTTACAACTAATACAATATTAATTTTGTTAGTAAGTTTAATAAGAAAATACAATAATAGTTAAAAAAATACTGATAATAAACAATACAACTTTTTTTTATTTCTCAACATTTTGCTTGCATTCAATGGCAATATTTCATTTGAATATCTAGTTAATAGGTTCATAGTATATTTTGAAAATCACACACATTAACCTTGGACTATAAAATCAACAGTTTCACAAATAGTAGTATAAATTCATACACATGAATAAATCAATCACGAAGGCTGAAGAACTTCATGGTACGCTGCATCCTTTATCTGAAAAAAAGTTTGTATCAAAATAAGTCATACCAAACCTACATTCCACTGAGGTGATATGAAACATATGTTATTATAACTCACAGAATCAGAACACTTGTAGCTGCTAAATAAGGATAGAAATATAGTAGTCTAAGCAAAAGTTTCAAAACTATATAAAATGCATTTAACTAAATCCTGATAACGTTCAAAGTTCATACATATTATCTGAATGACAAGGACAATGATAATTATTTAATAATAAAAGAACTTATAGTCAGATTTAAAGAGAGAAGAGAATCTGTTAATGTCTTATACATTTTTGTTCAAAACTGATTGAATATGTTGTGAACCTGTAGATTTGTTAAAAAGGATTTTAAAATCAGCTCACTCTGCTCATTTCATAGGCCAGACTTCATATAAAACAATAAGGCTACTTACTTGTGTGGGAAAAGGAGATATGGGTATTTTAACAATTTTTAATTTAGCATAACATACTGATGATTATTTAAATTTAAGTTGTTGATTTAATTATAAAGGCGAATAAACCTGTAAGCTTTGTAGGTTTATAGAGATCATAAGACAATGGGGTTGGTGTTTGGTTGTGTTATATTATTTTAATACTGTTAGCAGAAAAGTATACTGTAATGA